AGAAAAAAGACAAGCCTCGCGATCCAGGAAGCGACTGTGAGCTGAACAGTCAAGTATGTGGGTGACGGGGTCGGTACACATTCACCCTTCCTGGCTCAGGGACTTGTTTGCGTTTCGGAGTAACTCATGCTGGAAACTTTTTTCTACAATTCACTAAATCCTATCTGCGAATCAAATGATTTTGATACCTTGCTGTTAACGGTTGACTTCTTTTGACACACTATATCTTCAAAACTGTTTCTAAGTACATGGCTCTAAAGCCTTTTACACGTGGTGCAAATTTCCCACTGTCCATTATAGATTGAAGACATTGAAACCCAATCAAGGGATGAAGTCAAGCGTAAGCTGGAAGTACCTCCCCCAACTTCCCGATCAACAAGTCACATCCCAGCCTCACCACATGGTGAGTCCGGTGACAATGGTTCAGACCTGTCTGACACGGACTCAGAAGATAATCTGCCGACGAACCGACGGTTAAAACACCGACAATATCAGCCAAAAACTGTTAATTCTCGGAAGTCCACTTCGTTAGGACAAACAGTGCGGCAACATCGTTCTTTGCCCGATCTAACCAACTCTGACTTTGGTGGTCTCGCAAAAGAGGCGAATGTGCCTGTCCGGTCAATTACACGGTTCTACTTACGCAAGCACAACAATAGCCTTGGGTTGAGTATAGTTGCGGCGAAGGTGAGTGTGAATGTAATGTGTTGGTTTCATTTTCTATGGTTATATGTTGTCGCATTGTGACTATGGGTCAGGAACTGTTGAGTTGACTGGGAGTAAATAAGCTGAGTTGTACTTTCTTGTTGAATATTTGCTGTCCAATTGGCCGTGGTTTGTGAGGTTGCTATGGATGTCTCCCTTATGCCACTGGACATGAGGATAGCACGGTTTGGATGACAGGTCTCCATTGCGAATGCCAGCTTCAGTTTGATGGTGTAGTCTCAGGCGAATCACTTCTCAAGCTAGTGATAAATTTATTCCCAACTATCCATCGGCAAGGCAGTGATACTGGCATGAATTCTGAAATCTCAGTTAAAGGCTTTAAGATGGGATCGCTCTTCTTCCTTTGAAGCAGAATCGACTTGCGAGAAGTTTGAGAATGTAGAGCGCCATGGAACTAGGGTTAGACCACGAAATTTCAGCTGGCAGCGAATGAATGACATTGAGTGGCCCCGACAAATAAAGTCGCAAGGTTTTGCATTCGGAAAATACACAAAACCAAGTACTATGCATGCGCGATTTACTAGAAATTCTCAGCAAGTGACAGTTCACTATCGGCCAGTCAGCAGCAAGCAGCCAATGCATCACCTTGTTTTCATTTATCCATTATTTTACAGCTTTGTATTGAAGAATTCATACTATTGTCTTGAAATCAAATTAATACTCCCTCAGTGAACGCTAATCTATCCCGAGAGAACGAAAAAACCAAAGTGTTGCTGCTAGTTTTATCATCTGATTGTTCTGGTACACATCCATTTTCGATACATTTAATCGACCCTGGTGCCTGAGTCAGTGAGATAGTAGATTATCTTTTGGACCTCCGTGTTTCGATCCACACATGGGGTCCCTGTAGTTAGCTGCCGGTCCCGTAATGGGGATCTCTACACTCTTTATCATAGAAACAAACACTCAGAAACCTCAAATCCACATGACGTTTGCTCAGCGCAAACCTGATTCGTGCTCCAGATATTCGTTGTTCTTGTTTGTTAGCATACCGTCTACTGACTCAGTACGTTACGTTTTTCCTAATTTTATTGTTTTCATTGTCAAGGAATCAAGCATTTCTACTCAAGATATAAAAGATCTATTGCTGTTGATTTATCTACAGAGTTTAGCTTCCATTTATTGACGCAATCTGTCGACAGAATGGCGGAGAGTCGGTGATCCTGATTCTGGATGAGGTCTTCGCATGGAACTGAACATCTAGGGACACTCAACAAACAATTTGATCTCTATGGTCGCTTAGTGTAAGATAGTTCATACCTGCAAGCAGTTACAACAACCCAGTCGAGAACTTATGCAAATTCACCCCATATCGCTTCGATATAATTTTCGTGCTTTTACTGGAACACAGCCCTCAATTGAAATTACTCAACACTGCTTTACTGAAGACGGTCGGTTCTTCCATCTAGCGGAGTGCTCACAAGAAGCAAACTTGGACGCATCAGTGCATTCACTCTAATACTATCATGATGACAAGGGTAAAAACTGATCAGATACTTGTTTGACAGAGTAGAGGAAATTTGATCCCACAACTGTCTACCGGGAGAAACGAAATTTCCAAAACACATTTTTGCAAAACGGACACAGACTGGTTCATAGTCAAGACTAAGCGGACCATAACATAGAGGCTGACAAATAGTGTGTCTGTATCAAACTCCGTTGGACAGGAAATTCCAGTTTCAAACCAACAACCAGGACGCTAACTAATCGCACAACCATGCAAATGTCTGCTTGACTTCATCTTCTTCGGAGTAGGTCTGAAAGGCAAACTGTTGATATGCGCCACCAGCGTCTGTGTGCCTTTACGGTATGCTCGAGTTAAACAGCGTATTTTAGCGTAGACGCAGGCTAGGTATCATGAATGACGCTTGAAAAGGGCCATCACACCAGGTCTAGTTGCATCCATTCATATAAACTAATTTTCCCTATTCCAAACCACAATATCTGACTTGTTACGTCTATCTCAATCCTCAAAGCAGTACCACAAAATCCGCTGTTCAGACAACTCGGACTTAAATAATTTAGGTATATCCGACATTCGCCAACTGGACGCTGCTAATACACTCGCTTCGAATGTCACATTCAGACGCCACTGAAGAGAGGCGCTGCTGATTGCCGGTAGTAAACGGGTGACTCGGATCATGTTCTTCGTTCCTTTGGTGAGTAGGAAGCAGGATGACTACATTTGACCGCAAGGAAGCAGCATGCAGGTCTCTTTAGGCATCATGGCATTTTTTCACCTCTCTTTTTTCTCCCTCATCTGACGTTCGAAGTGCTGTAGCAATCGTTCATCTACGTGTTTTTTGCCAAACATTGAATGTCTTTGCATAACGCGTCACTTCACAGTATTTAAGCTTAAAAAATGTCACGATTACTGAATTTACTCCGTAGTTCCCAGTGTATTTTTCTCATCGTTCCACAAATATTTATCTGAGCACCATTTCATTCTACTTTACCGAATGCCATTTCCAGGCCGAAGGTGATACACAATATGGCATCTATGTCAAAGATATTGTTCCGGGCGGTGCTGCGGATCGCGATGGTCGGCTGGATATGGGTGACCAAATTCTAGCCATTGGATCGGCAAATCTAGTTGGATGTGCACAGTCAGATGCTGTCGCTACCTTGGCTAAACAAAGTCAGTCTGAGGAGGGTGTTCTCTTGACGGTTGCACAAGGCGCTGCCAAATTTCACGGAATCCTCGAGCTAATTCGTCCTCCAGGTTCAGAAAGACCGTCACCAATGGCAGATGAGACAGCATCGCCTGCGGTCAAGCCCCGTCATTCGACCAAGCCTCCAACAGTGAGTGAATTCAGGGTTTCGGTTTAATGAATCGGTTTAAAGAGGGGAAAATTACGACTGATTGATAATCTTGGGGTATATCAAATTTTGATAGTTCTGTAATGCCGAAGTGAGACAAACCACAATGTTTAAAGTTTATTTGTTTTACCAATATTGCGCTAAACCACTTATGACCTACTAGTTGTCTTTTTGTACAAACTGTTTCCCCCTGAGAATTCTCATTTCAAGCAAATCACATTTGCGTGAAGCCCAAACTTCATATCCAATTTCAACCACTTAGCCAGCTACTTTGTTGTTTTCCATCTATTCTTACCAGGCTCCCTCGGATGCACCGCCACCGCACACAGGACCATACAAAGTAGGGGCAACTGTACACCCACCTTCGACGCGAATGGGCCTGAAACCAGTTGATGATCCGCAGCGCGTGCCAAGCGGAGCCTCCAAGCCGTCACCCATTGGTCGAATGGCCGGTAGGGAACATCCGAAGCAGTTTGGTGCACTCAGCCGGTCCACACCGACACTAAATCTGGCCGAGATAAGTGACAAAGACTCTGAAGCAAGCTTCCAGGAATCAGGGACTGGTGATTTCACAAGCAGTGATGCCCATGAAACCAGACGTCTCACGACACGACCAAGTGAACCGAAGGGGTCTGTCGACAGCGGAAGAAGTTCAACACGGGTACGACTGGATGTCTAGTTCACTAGCTCTGTAACCAAACCGAGCTCCAGTGTCCTGGTCAAAAAACTGTCTCGAGCAGTGTTGGGCTGTATTTTTTGGGCTTACGTAGCTATCACTTTTCCATCCCAGTTATCGCCAGTGTATTCACTTCTCATCGGTACAGTTCAGAGGTGGTTCGAGCACTTGCGCGTTGGAATGACTAATACAGGTTACTTGGTTGGTAATGCGAGTTCCAGTTGGTCTTAAATTCGATGTGATGTTAAATGATACAGTACAGTTAGACCGCACGATTAAAGGTGCACAACAATCTGAGTTGGGACTATCGGTCAAAGTACTTGGTAGACGTACTGTGTCGATTCAAAGCCGTAGTTGGAAAGTGCAAGAAGGGAATAAGTGAATTAGTATACTGAAATAAACGACGGGATGAGTATCCTCCGATCGCCGTAGGGACACGCCGCCTACGTCCATGTGCACATGTGCGCTTTCCGGAATAGTGGCACGATCGATTGGGTCACACAGTAGACTTATCACATCTTGTCCATCATTTGACTGTGACTGACAAGAAAGTCCAAATGTGGCTTTGAACGAAGGAGTTAAGCTAGAAACACCAATCTCGTTTGAACATGTGGCTCACCTCCGCATGGAAAATGATTGAGTAGTCCAGAAGCTTTTTTCCGGCCAGTATTGTCTTCGATGCCCATCTCAACTGCGTAAGCTATTCACTTCTGCATCGTAAGAAAGTTGCATCACGTTTGCAGCTTCACCCGGAGATTTAGATTGTCAGGGGGTAGGGTGTAAGTGCCTGGTAACCGGTTTTTACCTTGACTTTCAGATTCCTATCTTGATCGTTTCATATTGCACATTTCTGAGTGAGTAGTATACAACAAGATTTAACATTCGCCCAGCTATTGATAAAGTTCAAACGTTTTCCCACAAAAAATCATGACATTCCGTCGGATGGAGCGGGGTTCTGTAAACCTGGTTTGCGTCCATTCCGCAGTGTGTTGGTCAATGGCTTGCTGTACTTGAATCCAGAGTTTTCTGTTTGTTTTTGCCAAGAAAACTTGCGAAAGTAAACAAAATCATCTTCGAGTCCAAAGGGTTGAATCATACGCATTCGGGACATGTTTTTTATGAGCTAAATAGCTATTCTTTTGGCGACTTTAGGTCAGAAGCATGCAAAGAGAAGACCCCGACAAAGTGGATTCTGGTCGCCGGAACCATAAACCTGTGAGAGCTGAAGAACACTCTCGAAGCCCATCTCCTGGGTCAGATATTGTCCATGAGGATTCAGTTGTTCCGAAACATCGAAAACACGGTCACTCGAATGTGCGGCAGAGAAAGGCAACAGAGCCAACCACTCAGCGACCCAAGTCAGGAGTTGCTTTACATACGGCGCGGTCCCAACCAGATATGTCACATGTTCCCGGTAAACAACCTACGGTAAGACGTAGCTCTTTGGTGGCCGAACCAGCCGAACTGTATAAAGATGCACCGCAACCGGATTCCTGCTCAGATGTGTTTTCTAGTTTGGAAAGCGTGTCCAGTCCGCATACCCCTTGCAGCTTACAAGATTCCGCCGAACTAGAGAAGGAGCGAATGGCACCATCAGACACGGATCCACGACCCGATTTAACACATAGTGGACGAAGAGAAGAACGCGTCAGACATCCTCCACCCCCTACAGCATCTAGTCAGAGTAAGTGATATTTAAGCCAAGTTAACATCACCTTATGATCCACCACAGTTATCATTCTTTGGAGAGACTTTAAGGAACGGACTGCAAATGGTCCCTTTTGGAGAGTTTGTCCCTCATTTGGAAGACCTCAATAGTAAGACTGACTTGACTACCTCTTTACAAAATGGTGTTTTCCTTGGCGATCATTCCATAGAAGGACAAACAATATGAGTTTACTAGTTTCACAGCGATCGCTCTCATGTATTACCATTGGATGTACTCTACAGTGCTCAACCGTACGGATGTACGGTTTCTCGCTGAGAAACCATACTGCGTAATAGTTGGCACATCAATCTTTTCCCAGGTTCTCTCTGTAAAAGAACCACTTGTAAATAACCCCTAATATGACCATTGTAGATATCGCAACAAATGCTGTTTGCTCGCACTTATTTCATCAGAGTGACTGATGCGGCTCTGTATACTTTCATTGTTCATGAATGCTGACGTTTACAGCGAATTGTGTTTGTTTCTCAATAGCGAATCAATCCGTTCAGAGCACAAAATCAGAACAAGCGTAAATGCAATGTTACAAGCCATTTTGGCTCAGGTTTTTTCCACAAGCGTTTCAGAGCAATATGGAAGGGCCTGCTCTCTGCTGACATTTCGTTTGATACAAAGACAGTTCCACTGAGTGCACTGCTAATTCGCATCTGACGGGTCTTTCAAGTGGACACGTGATGCTTTAATTTGTGCACCAAGTTCAACAGTCTCGAGAATACTCTTGTCTTTTGTGCGTTTTAATTCACTGCTTCGACGCCATTGGTGGTTTGACCAGCAACTACCATGTCCCATGCAAACCGACTTGTTTTGTGCTTCCGATCTCCATTCCATTCCTAGACTACGGCACATTTACCGTCTATGTAAGCGAAGACCCATTGTTATTGTCCTCATCTCAATTCATTCAACACAGCTCCAGGCAGATGAGTACAAACGCAGCCTCACATGTATTCTCATTCAATGTGGTGTTGCACATCGACAGAGGAGCGCCTAGTTCGACATGATATGCCAAGATAAAAGCCAAGAACCAGCAGCTTTTGTTTTGTCGCCACCTCTTGGACATATGATGTGTATGCTTGACTGTCCCAAAGATCAAATACGATAAAATCAACTTAGCAAAATACACTCATTTGGAAACAATTCGGTTTTGCGAGATACTCGCCTGAACCCAGCATAAACCGGAGATTCAGCTGGGACCCACGTGAGTTCCTCCGAAAACCAAATTTGTTTGCAAATGAGTGTATTTCGCCAAGTTAGTGCAGTTTGGTCCCAAGTAGGACATAAGGTTGACGGTAACTCGGGGACCACTCGATTAGCTCCAATGGGAATGAAACCGGTCGTGGGCTGTCGAAGAATTTTCAACAACCTTATGAGTAGTGCATTACATATATAGAAGCAACTTAACTATATACATTAAAAAAAACCTGAATTATAGTATCACCCTTTCAAAAAGAAAAGAACGCTTGCAACCCTCCTAACATCCTTCTGCATAAACCACGATTCACTGCACTACCTCCTGAGAGACGCCATCACTACAAGAAAGTTTATGCTTACATAATACGGTATTATTTAATGGATGGGTAATCACGTCTAAAACGGTTGGCTGACGGGCTTGGTCACGTGACAACCAAGGTCGTGTCTTCGAATAGACTTATGTTGTCTATCATTCATTGCTTCGCTAATGATCCGTCAAACAGGCTACGGTTCGCGGTTAACACCCTTTCCTCTGGCTAATGTGATACATTGATTCATCTATGTGATTAAACTTGGTTGCAGGCGGGCCTAGGCTCTACTGAGTCAAAGACAAGACCGATTGTGCAGTTAGTTGAAAAATAGTTACGTGTCAGCTTTAACCAGAGTAATTTGTCGCTTTCGACTCTAAATACAGAACAAACTAATTCGCTTGTTTCCGTGTTTTGAAATAGAAGCAAAGCCCCCCTTGTCAAGAGCTACCCCACGTGGTCGAACAAGTGCACGGCATCTGTCCGAATCCGAGCTCACTTCCGCAAGAAAGCAGGAATCTTCTGAGCCCCATCGACCACACAGCTCAATGCAGAATCGCTCAAATCAGTCGTATCTGAAAGAAACAGACGTTGATTTCTCCGATCTGTCTGAGGAGACAGGGCTTCCGGGTCAATCAGATTCACAGAAAGTACGAAAGGACTCGAGAAGGTCACTGAAATCTGACGACAGTTGCTATCAAGGCCAAGCTGACCAGGAGAGCGATGCTCATTACAGGTATGCTTTCAACATGTATATCGGTGGCAGCAGTCAACCATTTGCGTAAGCACCAACGTGCCGGAGCACCGTATAATAAAATGGGGGGCGGTCCTTCACACCCTTATTGTGTGCATCTGAACTTCTCACTTGAGGATCAGACAGAATTTCCGGGAAATTAGGGTCATATTATTATTCTTTGTGTCTATTTCCGGAATGAAATGTGTACAGTTCGTGGTTCAAACTAATAGCCGGCGGGGTCACAATTTGTGTACCGCTTCTCAGTTTTTTCCGAATATGTTGACTTCACCCCCACTTTGAATGCTGGAAGTTTTAGTGACCAAGGGTTTTGTGAAGAAACGCTTTAAACGGTATCCTTCCTGATGCCAGACACTGAGTGAAATGCTTAGCTGATTTGTTTACGCATCTTTATCAATTAAGCTGTTATACTCTATGACAACGAAGCACAGGTTTTAAGCATTGATGTAGTGGTGTGGACCACGATGATGAATGATTATGCCGGTTCCTGTCTGTCCACTTTCGTACAGGTCTGGGACCCCGGCCACTTCTGGAAGCATGACACCAACATCTGTGGATACAGTCGTTTCAAAACCTGCTCCAACAAAATCCACTCCTGATGCTCGAGAAGATACCGTACATGACGACACAGGTGTACAACTGAAAGAACCAGCTGATAATACATTCCATCAAAGAGAAACACTCAAATCTACGGTAGCTGATGTGTCGCATCCTCAGCCAAGCTCGGGTGGTACACAAACTCCGATTGATGATACAATATCCGAGAGCCTTCGACCACCAACTCATGCGATCGTATCTGGGCCACGTTATACAGATAACCAGCCATCAAGTTATTTGCCAGCTCTCATACCGGATGTTCCTGTGTTACACAGAGATCCACAGCGTGGCCGGTAGGTGCTTACGGAGTGACTGAACTCCAGTCATCCTTTACGTGTAGGCTGTAAGCGAATCGGTTCGTTCTATCCATGGGGAACCGGAAGCTAGCTACACATAACTATTTCGAGTGATATTCCTCAAACGTGAGCTTACATATGTCTTGAAGCCTAGAATCCGGAGCGGTCATCTATGGTAGTCTCATTTTCTACTCAGTAATACGTTGGATATTCGTTGTTAAGTTAATGACACATGTTTAAAATGACGACCTGGTAATGGAAAGCATAGAAATGCCTTTACGGTTAAGTGGTTATTTTTCTATTCACGTATTCATTCACGTATCTGCATTTTCAGTTCAAGCGAGTCATGCAGGGTTCATAGTACTGAATTGAACTAATTGGAGTGATACCTCCGAAAAAAGCAGATCTGTTCTACGCAGTTGATATCAACTGTCGTTTCCATTTTTTTTTACTTTTAGTCTCGTCCGCACTCAACTTGGTCTGATTCGGGTCACAGATAGATAGGTCTTTGCTGCACTGAAGTGTTATCCCCAATTTGTCGAATTCTCACAGCTTAACAGTTTAATGCTATACTGGGTCACAAGTAGGCGCTTGGTTGGAACCTGAGGAGTTGCATTCGAGCCCCTGCAACACATGTTATGGACATAACAATCCACTACATTGATGCACCTTAGGGATGTACTTTACCAGATTAGGAAACCTAAAGTTGACTCAGCAGTAAAGGCGAAGGAAGGCTGGTTGCGAGAAGACATTCTCAGTGACGCTACAACAGTCTGATCGGCTTCCTCGGTTTATTCTCCCTGTCACTTTCCGGGTATCTTGGCAGCTTAGGAAAACTAGCACTTAATTTAGGCCTTGAAAATCCTTGGTCCAACTAAATCTGGACTCTTTCAAACTCTTGCTTCCGATAGGACAAAAGTGTATCCTTACCGCACTGACTACTAGGCTCGGCGAACAGGCCACTAGCCGAAACTGGAACTCAAATTATGAAGAACGAGTTAGGGAGGGCGTCATATGTCTTGTTTGCATTCGTGGTTGAAAACGCATGTTTTGACTGTGACGCGGAGTCTTGAAACCAAATGGACCCACAAGGCCAACCTAGAAATGAGCCACCTGAATTATGCTACATGCCATGAAACTGTCTATCAACCAGATGTTGCCACATTTCTGCTCTTTGAGCTTAATGAATCTTAATGAAGAACTGTACACAAAATTAAATTGAACACAGCATTGTTTTAGTAAAAGTAAGGCGATTCACAACTAAATCGCCCAAAGGAGTGTACTCAGACGCTCTTTTGAAGTGTCGTTTAAGAAAGATCCTGTAGGACAATGGTTTGTGAATGAAATAGTCTCAGCTGAAAAAAAGTCACTTGTTGGCAAATAGCATTGGTATAAACGGAGACCGGAATGAGTCTCGGAAGAACCCCTCGTTTAGGCTGCAAAAAAGCCGCCTCATGTTTCAGTTGGCACGATATTCAAGATATTGCAGAATAGTTTTTTGACGAAATACACCAATCAAAACGTTGCTGAAGAATGAGAGATTCGGTTTAGTCATCTGGTAGCATCAGCTTATTTTTCGAATAGGCATCTTCCGTGGTTTGCGTACAATTTGGTGTTCAAGTGGAACATAAAGTATTTTCGAAGACTACATCTGTTTGAAAAAGCAAAAAAAAACGGTAGTGGAGCGCCGAACAATCCTCTAGCACCCTTATAAGTAGCATGTTATGTCAATGCAATGATTCCATGTCTCTAACGAAATACACTCATTTGCATACCAATTTATCTTTGACGGGAACCTAAAACCCAGATGACTCTCTCGTTTATGATGTTTTTTCCTCATGTTTTCTTCGGTATTGCTTTTTGTGCATGACAGTAATGTGGGGGTGGGAGAGAGTGCTTTAAAATGTAATTCAGTGTTAACACGCGTGCATGCATGAAAAGTGCTTGTGTGCATTGTGTCCACGAGTTGCGGAAAGTAGTGGGAGCAAAATAATTGTCAGGAGGCGTCCAGGCAGAGAACGACGCGTCGCTAAAATCACCATCGGTTACCACACATTCCGGGGCGCAGGTGCATAGGTTGAGCTTACCACATATGGCTTAGCAGCATGCTGCAAGCGGGGCGGCTGAGAAGATGTTCACANNNATCCTTACCGCACTGATTACTAGGCTCGGCGAACAGGCCACTAGCCAAAACTGGAACTCAAATCATGAAGAACGAGTTAGGGAGGGCGTCATATGTCTTGTTTGCATTCGTGGTTGAAAACGCATGTTTTGACTGTGACGCGGAGTCTTGAAACCAAATGGACCCACAAGGCCACCCTAGAAATGAGCCACCTGAATTATGCTACATGCCATGAAACTGTCTATCAACCAGATGTTGCCACATTTCTGCTCTTTGAGCTTAATGAATCTTAATGAAGAACTGTACACAAAATTAAATTGAACACAGCATTGTTTTAGTAAAAGTAAGGCGATTCACAACTAAATCGCCCAAAGGAGTGTACTCAGACGCTCTTTTGAAGTGTCGTTTAAGAAAGATCCTGTAGGACAATGGTTTGTGAATGAAATAGTCTCAGCTGAAAAAAAGTCACTTGTTGGCAAATAGCATTGGTATAAACGGAGACCGGAATGAGTCTCGGAAGAACCCCTCGTTTAGGCTGCAAAAAAGCCGCCTCATGTTTCAGTTGGCACGATATTCAAGATATTGCAGAATAGTTTTTTGACGAAATACACCAATCAAAACGTTGCTGAAGAATGAGAGATTCGGTTTAGTCATCTGGTAGCATCAGCTTATTTTTCGAATAGGCATCTTCCGTGGTTTGCGTACAATTTGGTGTTCAAGTGGAACATAAAGTATTTTCGAAGACTACATCTGTTTGAAAAAGCAAAAAAAAACGGTAGTGGAGCGCCGAACAATCCTCTAGCACCCTTATAAGTAGCATGTTACGTCAATGCAATGATTCCATGTCTCTAACGAAATACACTCATTTGCATACCAATTTATCTTTGACGGGAACCTAAAACCCAGATGACTCTCTCGTTTATGATGTTTTTTCCTCATGTTTTCTTCGGTATTGCTTTTTGTGCATGACAGTAATGTGGGGGTGGGAGAGAGTGCTTTAAAATGTAATTCAGTGTTAACACGCGTGCAGGCGTGAAAAGTGCTTGTGTGCATTGTGTCCACGAGTTGCGGAAAGTAGTGGGAGCAAAATAATTGTCAGGAGGCGTCCAGGCAGAGAACGACGCGTCGCTAAAATCACCATCGGTTACCACACATTCCGGGGGGCAGGTGCATAGGTGGAGCTTACCACATATGGCTTAGCAGCATGCGGCAAGCGGGGCGGCTGTGAAGATGTTCACAGCAGGAACGTCACCAATGCGTGGACAAGAACGAACAAAGCGAGTGCTCATATTTGGCCATTCAGCCATCCTATACATTTAACACGTTAACTCTGCATGTATGACCTGACCGGACGGATACAACCGTGGTGCTGTTTTTCTGTCTTCTCATCGTGTAGTCTGGCAGGCTGATTTCAGGCGTAACTAATAGACAGCCGCACGATACAACATTCAGACAACCAGTACACTGGCAGCAGTGTTGTAATGTATTGTCGTGATACCACTTACCTATGTGGCCTGTAAATGTGGATAAATCCAACAACGGGGACAATTTCCTACCAGAACCATGTTCACTTTAAGCATCCGTTTTTCGGAACACGTCTCTGTTATGTCATAAGTTTAGTCTTTTAGGTAAGAACCGACCAATACTTTAACATTAGGACAATGGATGTTAACTTCCAAGGTATGTCATATGGAGTCGCTTTGTGATCAAGCAAGGTGATTTTGACAATTCCATTGACGTCAAACTACTACTACGAACATCTTTTCACTTTTAGACGACACTTTTTCACGGCTACCGGGCACTTATGTTATGTAGAATGTTGGGAATGTAATTCTCAATTTTGATTGCCCATTTATTATATTATTATTTGTCTTCTTTTCATTTCTCAATTTCAGGTCGAAACGTGATTTAGATGAGAGTGGATCATTCAGCGTACAACAATCGATGACCTCCAAAAAACCTACCACGGATTCTCTTGTACATGCTGAGTTTGTGGAAGCCATACCTCAGTCAGAATTACGACCTCCGTCAGTACATCCATCGTCCTTGGAGTCTCATGCTGGAAAAAGTCAGTCAATCGAGCAGGATGTGGAACGGAGACCACAGAATCTGACGCGATACACGAAAGTAAGATGCTTTATTTTGATCATGAAAATGGAGCTTTTTACGAAAATTTCAGTTTTCCTAGTAGCCAGGACTTTATAACTGGACTATATATAAGGACTTTATAACTGTGATTTTATCGTTGCAGCCTTCCAGCATACAGCCTCGCGGCTTTTCAGGAACTGCAAACAGACCTATGGGAGTGACTTCTCCACCTCCTACGCCAACGGCCGAATGTCCGCAATATCACCCTCCAGAAAGGCTGGAACCCGTGGACTGGACAGGCCATCAGCAATCACAAGGGAGTGCCATATCCACTCAGTTTGCTGATCGGTACGAACGCAGTTCCCGAGCACCCCAGGTTGCTCCAAAGCCTCAGGTATCGGCTCCGTCTACATTACACTCTCAGGTCAGCATCAAACTAACTCTACTTCGTTGTACACTATATAGACATTATAATTGTAGTCAGCTAAACTGATGTCATGCTGAAAAGCAAGTCAGTGGGGAATAAATGTTGTTACACATGAGCTTAAGTGGCTCTTAGTTGTTTAGATGCTTTTGGTTTCCCTTCACCGTGCTTCGAAATCAGCTTGCACTGGCTTGGATGTCAGCTGCCCGGCACGACAAACAGATCAGCAGCCACCTGATCAGCCATCAGTAAACGCAACCCAGTTATCAACATCCTAACAAATCGCCAGTTTTCTTTAAATCACCAATAATTCTTGCAGGTAAATACCATTCATTGACTATTCTTGTCGGAGTTATCAATATCACCGTTGGTCGGAATGGCAAGTCGCAAGAGCTCTACTTTGCAGAAAATGTTTAACGGAAATCAGAACGGCGTAGAATGGGAGAGGAGTCGATAACTTATATACCCCAGCAATTGAAATTACCTAAAGTTCACGTGCGGATGCCAGGAAATTTCATAGATCTTTTTTCGCCTAAGCCCTCTGCTTGAACCTACGCTTCACAAAGGATGTCCTTTCGAATGAGAATACAACATGATAGCGATAGCTCCTCCCTCTTGGTGACCAAGGGGTTTGGGTTTAAGTCCCGCTTGCGGTGGGGAATTTAGCGCATCTAATTTCAATAAACCATAGTGTATTGAGGTAAGGAAGGTACTCCAGTAAGTACCAAAGTTTACATTGATTAAAAGGATACCAACAGGCAGTCGTCTGAAATTTTCGGCACTCCTGGCTCAATATAAACATATGTCATTTACCCGGGATTTAGATTAAATGCTTGAGCATGGGAAGGTATTGCTAGACATGTGTACCTTTGTTTTCGTTGAAATTCACAACAGTTTGGTCCATAACATTTTAGCGCCCACCGTACACTCCGAAGTCACCACAACCATCCTCAATCAGCCAGCCCTCTATTCAGTCATCAACTATCCAGAATGTTAGGCCTTCAACTTCATCATCATTAATCCCAGCCCAGACACATCCACCACAGTTAGGAGCAGCTCAACGTGTTTCTCAACTTGAAGCAGAAATAGCTGCAATGGAGGCTAGTCAGGTTTATTCCAAATCTGGTGAAGCCAGTCAGACCCTGGACCGTCTCAGAGTCGAGTTGCAATTCCAAAGACGCCTTGCCGAGCGAGAGTCCTTGCGACGAAATCCAGTGTCCATGGATGACCGTGGGTTGCATCATGTGACTACTTCGACCATAAGGGAAACAAGTCAAGTGAGTAGTAGATCACTTGAACTTATTTATGTCTCATCCGAATTTATCCATATTTGGAGGTTTCTGTTACTCGATCTAGTCGCTATCCTAAAAAAACAATCCGCGAACTACTTTCAGGTCATCTATTTCGAATGTTTACGATTGAAAATACAGCGATTTTTTTGTTTTGTTTCACTTCAAGAAAATTAAGAGGTAGTTATGAATGGTAGAAGTTTGATGGCCGATCATCAGATGTTTGTCGGACGTGATGTGATGACCGCTTTCTGTCCAAGTTATGCTGTCTCAACTATTCTAATTAAACTGTTGTTTAATGAGGATTTCGAACTCTGTTCCGCATTTCATTATTTTCCTTATCATCCATTTCTGTGCACTACAGTCCGTGCCTTCGAAAACTGCTGCTGATGGTGGACTGATGGATACACACATTGTCTGGGAGGAGAAAAGGATTCAGGCAGAACGTGACCTAGAAGCCAGGTGAGTACTGCCATAGTGTGACGCGTGTGTTCAATAAAACCTACTGTAGGGAGATCTATGTAGCAACATTTTTGCCCATTAGCACTAGGACTTCCTCTTTCCTTGAGGGACAACGGTGTTCTATTTCCGCGGAATTTACCCGGACTGACTGGCGGAATACATACACCGAAAGTTCACAGGAAAATTGTAGTTATTCGACCCCCTACCTCAGGATGGGAAATGCAAACACTGCTCGTCTACAAGGACTATGATTTGCTTTCTACCACAGATGATATTCTTTACGTAGTGGGTAGACTTAAAGGAAAGTTTCCTGCTAAAAAGGGGATTAAAAGAGAATGGCGACGTGCAGGAGAATATTTCTGTGACTATCGAAAAGGTTACATAGAAACCTCTTACTTAACGATGCTCCCCAAAAGGATGGACAGTTCGGGCCCAAGTTGCGTCGAATGTCCATCGTCCATTGTGAGATTGACTCGGAAGCCATCTGGTCGCAGCGTAAAACTAGAAAATCGATGGTTCTCTACAAATAGGGACATGCCCCTAGAGGGGACCATTCTCACCAGGCCTCATGGGCCGTCATGGAATCTAGACGTGACGAGGTCCGTCGAAATTTATCTGACAGCTCTTCATGTCCTTATGCACTCGGAAGCCAGACCATAATTCTGCACCACAACATGAGAGGTGGGCGCTCCCAAGTGGTGGCTCCATTGCTGGAGCGATTTCGGTCAGTGAGGAAGATTGTTATCGAATCTCCTATAAGCACGGATGTCGCTGCTGTGCGGCTGAATGCCGAAGAGTGCTAGCCACATGGAGGATTTATGATAATTCGATGCACCGCTTCGGTAGCCGATTCCGTTTGATCGCCGTCATCATCATCATCATTATCATCATCATCATCCTCATCATCATCGTTGTCAGCATCATGAGCACCACTGCCACCATTCTCATCGATATCGTCATTGCCATTATCATCCTCCGCCTCAGAGACAACAATGTCGGCGCTTACAGTCTAATCACACCGGCTACTTCCAAGTTTGTAGTAGACTGTGAAACGGATGGTTCAGGAAGGTCCGTACTTGACAAGTTCGCTTGACAGGACGGAGAAAAAGTACGTACATATGTACTAATGTTTCAACCAGAGCATGAATACCAGGCTAAGAGATGCTGTCTATCATTGTCGGATACTTGCCACCAGGTTTGCTCAGTTCTTCCGCAGGATGAGCCTGATAGTTGGCAGTTCTGTTAATTCCGATTGATTTTTTGTTTGCTTTTTAGTCAAAGACGCCGCCTAGCTGAGCTAGAGGAAGAGCATCGGGCAATGCTTGCACGTCAAGAGCAGCGCGCAAGAGAACGAGCCGAATGGTTTGGCAAGAACCAAGTAAGTATACACAGTTGTGCACAGTTTGGCGGAAGATGTTTTCCAGTGAAATAGATTTATTCGTCTCAATCGGTCGTCTAATATCTTGTAGGATTTCATAGATCATGACCTTCGTGAAGTGAGGATTAATTGTTACTACAGAGTACTGCCACTTTGTCCCCATTCGCATATGCTACCCACCTTTCGTTTACTCATGTGTGTGTCGCTTGTTCCCATGGAGTTACTATTTCGACGGTGCGAACCTGTCAAATCAGATGGCTTGCACCTTTAACTTACTGGACGTGAAAAATGGCAAGCGATTGAGGTATAGCATGCGAGTTGATTCGATGTTAACAGAAGGCTGTAAACTATCCCTAAGGAATCCATCGCTTATGAGAGGCGCAGCGCACTGTTTCAGCTAGTAACTTATTTGCGACAGCAAATTAATTAGAGGAGGGTGTTCTGCTAACTGCGTTCAGTTTGGTGCTTAAGTAGTAGATAAGGTTAATGGAAACTCGTGATTGCGTCCACCTGGTGAGCCTCGAAACTGGTGGTAGTTTTTCATATCACGGAGGTCTACTGCGTTATCTCGAACATTTTATCAATATGCACATTAGGCGCCCCTGGTGAAGTAAATTTGCTTGGCTAGTATCACAAAAGATAGATTTATTTGAAAACCTCGTTAAGAGCAGGTTAATTTATAAATGAGTGTACTTCACCTGTTGCATAAAAACTGGTGTTCACTCAGAACATAAGATTGATTTGAACTTAGAGACTGCACCTACCTGATGAGTCCTAGGTGGACAAGACTGGTGGTGAGCTTTCGAGTGATTTTAGAGCAAACTTATGAGTAGTGTATTCAGTCATCCGATTGAACGGACTGTTCCAACCCAGTGTCAGAGGCGCTTTCCGGCCGTGTATCATAGTGAGTCATGTCGCAGAAAATACCAAATGGATGCGTCCATTTGCGTTCAAAATGTGGAAACAGCATTAGTAATCCTATGGCCAGTCGCACCAGATAAACTCCTGTGTATGGATATTTTAACCATCCTCGCCGCTGGATTGGACCACTGAATCTCGAGTGCGCTGATGAGCCTTTCAGCTTTTGGGTCACTGATCTTCAATCGCCAAGTTCGTTTTTTGTGGACACACGTTCAATGATACATGCTCATTCATCGACTCACTTCGATGACATTAGTGCCAAGGGCTTGCGTAGAGATCGCGAAAACCGTCTGTGGTTTACCATGTGGAAGTTTCCGGTAGTTTAACCACTATTGATAGGCAAATCCGATTCGGAAATCGATCATCCATAAAAAGCCTCCTTGTTTACCGGCTTGAAGATATGCATGCAGGATGGAGTATTGATGAGTTTTTCGCACCGCTTTGGTTCAGTATCTAGCCCCGGTATGACCTTAAAGCACCGTTAAGTGGCAGGGCGAGAGCATGCACGATAACCTTTTTCGAAGGTATGGGGCGGTGCATATGAGGGACACCTCCACAAGGACGTACAGCTAAACAACAAAACAATTCAAACTACTGCACACTGATGGCGTCACCTCGGCCGGTGATAAAACGACTAAAACTAAACGGTGAGGCCCAGCGAACAGAACACCAATCGCGCAGTGCCCAATCTACCCTAAGGTGGGTTTACTTGAGGGATTTACCCTGGCCACTTCTAATGAGCAAAATAATTCAACGTCCCTTACGTCAGCTTTGGATATGCATGTGATATGCATAGTGAGACGACAATCACCAGTTTGCTAAACAGACATGAAGCAAATTCCGTTGACTGCAGGACCTCTACTGATTATACTCACAGAATCCCCCAGTCTTCCGGAGTTTTGGTAGGCGATCGAACATTCCGATTGCCAACTTCCAGCTATGAAATGCTGATCAATTTCGAAATGCCATCCACTTAGGACTCAAAATATCTCTTCAGCGTGGTAATGATCTAGCGGTGCCCTACTATTTGACCACCATTGTATTCCTTTCTCATCACCGTTATCGTGCGCTGAAACCTATGAAGGCAAATGAGATTTAAAAACCCTGATTGGTAATCCAGAGACATTCAATGATAGGTGATTAGGTGGCCCGTGACAGAAGACTTGCAAGTGTTTTGTCGCCATCCGAGGATAATACATGAGTGCGCGACTGACGACGTATCCACGAGTGTGGCGATACGTTTGTGTGCCAATTCCTAAGCTCGACGAACAGCCCAGTGGCCACCGGATCAACCGTCAATCAACATACTCTCGTTTGACAGACTTAACGAATGGTGTAGGCTACGTGCAGTCGTCAACTTACTGTCAAATGACCTATCCTACGTATACACAATTTGATCCGGATCAACCGTCAATCAACATACTCTCGTGTGACAGACTTAGCGAATGGTGTAGGCTACGTGCAGTCGTCAGATTACTGTCAAATGACCTATCTTACATCTATACAATTTGATACATTTGATTCAGGTATACCGAGCAGACGAGGGTTTGCTTCACCGACGCACCAGTCGTTTTGGGTGATTTGAAACCTTTTCAGTTATTCAATTACATTACTGGTGTCGGATTCACAATTCAGGAAGTCGAATCACGAAAACAGTTTCTTACGAAGTGGAAACGCTACACTAAAATTGCGCGTTGAAACAGTTTGACGCTAATATGTGACGATGGCTTCGTGTATTTCAATTTGCGGTAAGGCTTCTGAATGACGATTAAATCCTCAAGGTGGGATTCCTACATGTAAAGTTGGAAGTACTCACCTCGCCTTGGTGAACATGAGTAGTACGACCGATCGAGCATGATCACTATGACATAAAATCAGATTAATCTATGATCACTGGGTTGAACGAACATGAATAATCTTTGCTCACAAGGAAATCGGTCAAAATGATTTGCAAATTGCGTGTCTCAAGATGGTTGATGGGTGTAGCTACGCCTAGTTAAGGAGCTCCAGAGCGACGAAATATGAAGTGAGCTGTCAAACTCTCGGGAGGCCAGCCACCCCTTATAACCGAACAGCACTTCAGTTGAACCGATGTGTCACGTGCGGGCTACGGACGAAGCGAAGACACGCCCTGATTTGTCAGAATGCCAGCCAATCTGGATCCAAGCATCTTTAGCTCGACGCTTCTCGCCCCCTCACGGAGACTCTAGCACAACACTGTGGAACATTCTGTGGCCACCCTATAAATACAGTTATAATAATTTTCCTGTCTCCATAGTGGGCTGTTCAAAGCTACCGTGCGTTTTGATATCCTATGGTGGGCGCAGCGTGAAACCAGGTACCGACACAGAGTTGCACGACCATTCAGCAAGTGACAGCACAAATAATTTGCATAAACCTTTTGAATAGTTTCCTATTCAGGAGTCAGAAATTGGCAGAAACTGCGGAGAGAGGGGTAACACAAGACAATGCGCTCCGTTTATGCCCTTAGACTTGAACTTTCACAGTAAACGCTTTCGATAGTTTTGTAGAAATTACACAGTCCCAACTGAACGAACTCCTATCTCGTGAACTTTGATGTTCACTGTTTTCCTTCACAGGGTTTATCAGATGTGCGTCAGCCAAACGGTGCAGAAGAAATTGTCAGACAACGATCGCAGTCTATTGGCTCAGGGTCACATTCCCCTGAAAGAGGTGGGTCTTCTTTCGTTATCCCTCACTTAAACGAATGTATAAACTCTTGTTTAAGCTAAGTGTTCTTGTGCATTGTTTGGCTTCTCACGTGCTTTTTCGGTTATTTACGCCACTAGCTTCCTATCCATCAACTACTGACATTCACACTCGCTACGGGCGGCCTTGGTTTGATGTGAACCAGCGACAGTCACAGTTCGGTCACACAACGCCACAATATCCTGTGCAGAGTCGAACTGGTCCGCAGTTGGTCGAGGCCGAACTTTCGCGTGCTGCATTGACAACCCCCACTGGAGGAGACAGTTTGAGAATGAAAAAATCCGTGTCTTTCGATAAGAATCTAGAAACAATTACTGTGTACAGCCCTCCAACAACACCACAAGAAAGCTTTGCGGAAAATGCACCCTCGACCGTATCCCGATCGTTACCAATGGACAGTTCGGCAAGCTATACAGGTACGTTTTTTGCAGACCGTCTTACCATGTTCTTTAGTAGCTAGTATTCAAACAACCACCATCTGATTATTATTTTCTATCAAAAGATTTAAATGTCCTGTGTGGAACCAACTAGCCTGTTACTGGTTAGAGATCCGATAGTGTCTTTCCGCCGATCAAGGTATCTTTTGGGCAAATCGGTACCGAGCCTCAGGTAAGCTCGTTGATCAGTAACCACAACTGTCTAAATTAGCATCGCCTTACCCTGACTTGTTGCTGTGAAGTGCTTGAACCCCAGGGGCATTACCTGTGTGTAAGGATGATGTCAGGGCAAATAGAGCTCTGCTTGATTTTCACGTTTGAGTTGGGTGCATGTGTTTAGAACGCCAAACTGCAAGGGGTCATTGTGTCCAGACGTGGTCACGTTAAGGTGGACTATTATTACATCTCTATCAGCCTTTGTGTTTTTTCTCAACATGCTAAGTAACTCATTGAAAAATCAAGAACTGGGCCTGGGTTAAGATGCTTAAATCCAGCATGTACCTCAGGAAGTTGTTAACTGATGAACTCAACCTTTCAAGCTTTCTGATCCCTTCTATCTGTACTCACTTTCCGGCTGAATGAATGTATATGCACCAAAGAAAAAGACTAGTCTTTTCAAACCGGTCATCAGCCGATCGGAGGTCACGTGATTTTGTGGTTGTGTGGCAGTGAAGCATCAGTGCCAACAATAATATTGCTGCCGCGAATGATAACGATGATGGTGATGATGATGAGGCTAGCAGTTTTGGTTTTTTCTTAGCCTCCCGAAAATACCTGCCTAGAAATCGAAATTTAATGAGTTGGTATATTTCGCAATATTCGTCCATCTAGAAAATTTATGTGTTCTGCTATGTTTGCCGCAAGGATTAATATCTTCGTTTCATTGACTCAGCACCATAGTTTCTCCCTACTGGGACTACCAGGTTTTCTGTCTGTTTGATCACATACTACTAGTTGGGTTGAAGTAGAGCGACAAAAAAACGCTGCTGAAACGCTTGCACGCTAATTTGATAGATCAAACCCATTAGTTGAGTACATCCTAATTACCCTACAGTGCATATGTTTTTTCAAAGGTCCGGGAAACTTTCACAACGCAGTTAAGGATGGGCTCATCCGGCATCTGCTCAGAACAGTCCCACTGAAGCGCATCCTGAAGAATCCTCAGAAGTACTCCACACTTAGGCAGCGTAATGCCACTGAATGAAACTTTCCACCGAAGGCGCCTGGTACACATGCGCCGCGCACATAACTAACAGAAAATTATGGTTTAATCTTCATCACTCAAAGTTTTCATTATTTTGGTGCGCCCACAATTTCTTTCGTTTTTCTCTCAGATTCTCGCTAACCATTGAGATTTTGATGTACTATTAATGATAATCATATCCGTTTTTTCTGTTTGACCCGTCTCCCTAAACGGGGAGATTTTGACCCCACAGTACTTCTAACGGTGTTAACTGGCCCTGATCGGTTTTCGACTAATGTTTGCATTTGGTATGGAGAACAACTGTATCACCATCATCAAGGCGACTGTTCTACTCAGAAGACGCTCACCTGGTGGTGCTTGATTGGTTTATGACTTCAACACTTCCAACTAGTTGAACGATTCGCATTTTCGGTTGACTGTACTGTGCATCAGTCTTTGTTAACAACAAGCTAATAATACCTGAAAATTCTAAACCCAGGTTCATCCCATGATCGCTCCGCGGCAGCCAAAGGACCTTACTCCGGGAACTATGCAAAGCCGAGTCCCATTCCGGTTGACCATAGCGCCAGACAAACAAGTGTGAGTGAGGTCATTTTATTTCCCACCTGTTTTATGTATGAACGAAGGCAAGTACATCTACTCAGAAGATTTTTTTGCCTATAGATGACCTGTTTTACTTCTCTGAGTTGCAGACGACTTTTCTTTTTGTGTTTTTTGTTTTCTCAAGGAAATATCAAAGCGAATCAAGACATGTATTCCCTGTTGGATGACACTAAGGCCTCATTGGGTGGCTAGATGTGTGTGTGTGTGTGTGTGTGTGTGAATAGATGACTGTCTAACTTGTTCAATAGAACCACGGTACTTGTGACAACTGACTGCTTGCTTGTTTAGTCTTATCCTGCTCTCATACATAAGTGATGGGAGAAAATCGAAAACATCGCTCAAACCATATGGTCCTTGAGTCGTACTGAAAGGTACTCAGTGATCCACCAGTGAACATCACACTGTATGACATGAAACACAAAAGTGAAGCGCGAATGGTGCCATATCACACTCCAGATCAGCTGCCCACCGGCTGGAGGTGAATATTCAAACCACTGTCCACTAGTCTGCTGATTTTAACCATTCTAGAAATTCGCGAACTACGCGCGGTCGGTGCTCTTCTCTCTTCGGGATGTGAAAATTCCTTTTCAATTCTGTCAGTGATTCACTGACGTAAGCGATGAGCGTCCTGTGAAATTTATTCCCCGAACGGTGATTCACTATTTATTATTCTGTATTCGGAGATCCTTCGGTTTATCCTAGCCGGTTTGATATTGTTATCAGAATTATGTGTTTCGTCGATTTCGTCTGATTTTAATCATAATATTTTTGTCACTTTTCTGTAGAAAGGTAAGTTGGCTGTTCGGAGCGACTGGTTCACACGGTAAAGCGCCGCAGCTGTGTTACGACGTTGTGCGTTTCGCTTACTGACCTTGCAAACAATTAAGTTTGTTAACCGCATGAATTTGATGCCTCTCTGACTGAGTGTCAAGCTTACCGCCACCCGAGCAACGCCAATTCAGGCTAGTCTTGATGTCCGCTGTTTTATGCTAACCCAAGCAACCTTACTTTGGGTCTTGCTCAAAGTAACTTGCCATTTCTAGTTACGCATCAACTAATCAGCCATTTCACTGCAGGCAAAGGTGCAAACTGCTGAAGACATTTATATTTTGCGAAACAACTAAACAACCGATTGTGCAAACATGCAGCCATGTTTAAACATTACAACCGACTTTCTCAGCAGAGTTTTAATTCAAATGATGCAAAAATTGCAAATGGATACGAAACACTAACAGGTTTGTCACCTTTAACCTTCCTTCCGTGACTCGGGTCTAACAAAATTCGTTCTTTGACTTCCATCTTTTGCGGAACTTAAATTCGGCAATGATTCCGACTCGCGTTTCTCGGTGTAACAAACTTGCAGTCTCATTCATTCGGTTAATCGATGTCAGAAGCGCGAAACCAGTCGTAGGTAGTCGGAGAGTTTCCCGAAACATTGTGAGTAGTTTATGAAAATTTATTGCGATATCTTGAATATCGTGCCAACTGAAACAAGAGGCGGCCTGTGTCCGGCACATTCAGTTGAAGAATAACACAAAACGAGAGATTAAGTTGACTCTCTCGTGAAAACCAAATTTATTTGCAACTGAGTGCATTCCTCGAAAATTTACCAAGTGGTTTGTCAAGCTGTCACCCATTAGTTGACCCAACTGTACTCCCAAGTTTTCCGAGAACATGTGACTACCGGGCCCACGCTCATTCTTATAAAAACATACATTTTCAGACCATTCCTTCGGCAATGGTGAAAAATTGTTGAAATACTGGCAAAACGTCAAAAATTCCTTCGTATCTTATGTTGCTAGTCTTCGACGGAATTCACTGTCTTGTATCCTACTCTCTGGCGTAGTTTCTGAATATTAACCGAGGCCATTAACTTGCGTTTAGCATACTCACCAGACTCCTAAGTAGTATTACATATGCTTTTCACTTCTCCAGCATTCTAATTCCTCGTGTTGCTTTCATGGCATGCTATTTATGCCGACGCCGATAATCCACCTGTCATCCTAAACGTATTGCAGGCATCCCCGAATCCCATTCCAAATGCGGAACTCCTTCCCTTCAAAGAAAAAATGAGGTTGTTCGCTCAACAGATCGGTGAAGATCTCCCCAGGGAACGATCCAAACTGTCTAGCCGTCAAAAGGAGCTGCTGCTAATAAACACACCTGATATTCCACGATCTTCTCCAAACTACACTCTTGAGTGAGTTGGTGAGACGTTCAAAAAAAACTTCGAAAGTGATAATACCCTATATGAAAGCAGCCAAATTGTTGCTCCAATTCGCAACAAACTTTCCTGTACTCATGATTTCATTCTGCAGAACATACTTTCTTATGTATAGAAAATCATCTCATCTGACTTATACATGCATCTTTGCGAATGTAATTTGGCAAACGATAATTTGGTGTCACCTAGTATTCCCTTGACAAGCGTACGTTCGGTTTTTCGGATCAGTTCCTATTGCCTTTTTCAGTCCCGTACTCCGTCTATTGCTGAATTCTAATCACTATTTTTGCTACGCTATATTTAAAATCCTGACGGATGCATTTCTCATCCCCCCACACTTCTGCTTTCAGCGCGCTTTTTGTAATTGAATTGTTTTTTTACGTGACACCTACTCACACTGTTAATTATGTCTCACGATTGTGCACAATAAATAATTTATGCACCGTAGATGATTGCGAATTTTTAAAGAACCCTGGACATCATACTACTAACAAAGCTGTTAGTAGGTTATGCAATAGTCGCTCTTGCTCCCAAACATGCAGAACTAGGGAAACATGAATGAAACTTTAGCAAACGACCACGGTGAATGATGATGCCGTCGTTTTCCATTGCGTGCAGGGCCACGCATTGGATTTGCGTTGTTGATCGTGTTGCCGAGCTGCCCATACCTACTGCGGAATTCATTTAATATAGCACTCAAAAATATTGCTCCGTAGTGGTGCATATAGGTCTGGCAGTCTCAAAGTTGACGTCCGCTGCTACAATAACAGCTTGTCATCATCATTACCATCGCTGTGGGCATTGTCAAACTCATCATCGGAATAAACCTTGTTACTGGTGCTTCCCTAATGTACAAGTCCCAACTATTGTCTGCTCACACCCGACGACTTCATTTGCAAGAAAAATGAATGAGTCAACAGTACTCGAATTCGACTTCTGCCTCTCGGCTTCGCTTGTCTAAGCTTGGACAGCCTGGCAGCATTTCAGCCCTCGTGCTTCCTTTGGGTGGCGTGGCAGTTAGGAACTGAAAGGGTGCAACAACTGAACGAACGAACGAGTATTACTTAAAAGCTCAGTTGGCGTTATACTACATCGATTTTCTCGGTTTATAGTGGACAAACTTGTCGTCGGTTTGGTCATGCAAAAAAGGATACGAGCTTGACCCTGTTCAACTCCAAGCGGAAGCTGTTGATGTTGACATGCGAGGTGACAACCTATTATTTGCCACAAACTATGATGGCCACAATTCGACACTTTTGCGAAAATCGTTTGGGAGAATTAGCTTAACCAGTAGGCTCATACCCTTCCGGGCGAAATCCTGCCGATCAGTCAGCCCAAACGCCTTATAAAACTGCCATCCTGGCCGTATAAAATCTCCACAACAGGCGCTGTATAGTAGAAATGATGCTCTGGTAAACGGTTCACGTATGGTTCTACGTCAAGTAGTGTGACTCTTAAACTGCTGATGGGAAAGTTCACATTCACTTTTCAAACGCTAAGCGGACTATTCTGAAAATTTTACTTATCGACAAAAAGGCCGTTGTGTACTACGAATGTTTTCTTTGGTAGTAGGACGCTTAGACAATATCTCCTCATTCTGTATAGTAGAAATGATGCTCTGGTAAACGGTTCACGTATGGTTCTACGTCAAGTAGTGTGACTCTTAAACTGCTGATGGGAGAAGTTCACATCACTTTTCAAACGCTAAGCGGACTATTCTGAAAATTTTACTTATCCACAAAAAGGCCGTTGTGTACTACGAATGTTTTCTTTGGTAGTAGGACGCTTAGACAATATCTCCTCATTACTTCAATGCTTGGCTTTACTATACTGTCATCGTCACTTTATGGAATCATTTCCAGGAAAGGGATCATGATGCTGTAATTAGGGAACATTTCATATGATCTGAAATCTTCTGGGGATGTTTTGTTTATCGTGACAGAGAACTAAGCATTTCTCAGTTCAGTCAACGACAGGCCAACGATGTTTCGCTCACACCATTCAGACACCTGTATTGAGTGCTTTATACTATCTGAGATTTATGGTCAGTCGTCTACCTGAACTGTTACGGTTGCTCAAAAAGGCGTCCGGACTCTGTGGTGTAAATTGGAGTTTCTGATCGAGCAGTTCAGATTCCGAACAATCTTTTGGTCTTTATACTGTTTTTGTCAAAGTTTTGGCAATTTATTTTTGTCTCTCAGCTTCGGTAGATGGATAGATGGGAGGTTGGCAGGAGTGTGTTCAAGAATTGTTCGGTTAGATGAGACAAATGTGACTGTGTGCAAGGCGGCCTGAGGCATATTTATGAACGTGAGAATTGCATTGAACCGCTTAGTTATTATTAGTTGTCCGAGCAATCTCAAACCATGCGAATCCTAATTCCTGACAGACTAAGTTGCAGGAGAGCCTATTCTTTTAGCTATATCTTCATTCGTCCAGGACGGTGATTGGTTCGACGAAGATTGAACAACTTCGACGTCAGTCTGTGGCAGGCGAAACTGCTCGACAAACTCGGCGATATTTTGTGTTTGGTAGAAGCAACTATCACGTGGAATTTTTTTTAGAAATCACCGAACCAATAGTTAGCAAGAGAACATCACCATTTTGATGAGAGTTCAGCCATTTATGTTTATGAAACCAAAGTACTTTTGGATCCCCGAAAAATAGCCTAAAACAGCAATGCCTTTTCTGCATTTTTTCGGGAACTTTACTTTCCATTACTTAGAATACGAAATCTCGGGGAATCCAATGTCAAATTACAAGCTGTAAAACCTAGTTTTAAAGCCAATGCGAATCACGTTCCACAAGTTTCTCGAAATTCCGTGCCTATTGTGGTCCCAGCAAATCAGGAATCTGAGTTTCAAATTTAAATTGAAGTCGTAGCTGTTTCCGACCCAAATTACACGCTTGTACGGCTCATGGTAGTTTGTATATCTTGAAAATTTTCATCTGTAGTGAGTAGTTGAACGCGCTCCTTTGTAACCTGTGACAACCATTTTATTGTATTTGAACGGTTGGTAAACTGCTAGGCACGATGCTGCCATCGTGTTCGTACACATTTAGAGACAAGTGTTTCTCCAATGAAACGCAAGAGTTTGGTGAAAACTAGGTTGCCCTAGCAACCTGCGAAATCGACCAGTACAGTACGACAATAGACTCAAATCCCAGTGAGAAATCGCATTAATCTGGTTGACATTATCCTGACCGTCGTTTGAAGTAAGTTGTACGGATTTTACCTGGTTGAACTATGGACCAAAATCATAACTTTGTCACTTTGTCAGTCAGTAGACCGTAGGACAGTAGAAGAACAGCCGCAAATAATCACTGATGTCAATCTATGTTGAGAAGCTGAGACTCCCTGTACAGCGTTTTCATCCTTTTTGGGAATAATCATCAGCAGAGCGCATCTCACGAAACTCAGAGAGTTTCGAACCCGGACCCTTCGGACCACTGCGTAAACACTTAACCGTCTGGCCAAGGGTGTTGATCAGTAGTGTGATTAGCTGTCAAGTAACATGCGCCACAAATAACTTCGCATCAACTAGGTAATCCACTTATGGATTTCACAATCTCGCTACAAAACAAAGACAAGAATGTCTGTGTTTTTAAAAAAATTGTCTATTCTCTGCCAGGAATCATTTGGCTAACCCCATGTCAGGCAGTATTGGTTCAAGTATATTTCGAACAAAAAAGCAATCAACAATCAAAAGAATGTACTTTTTCTTGTTGTCCAGTCTGTTGGTCTTCGAAACCTCTCTTATCGGAATGCCACCAACCTCAGCAGTTCAGCCAGGAGCTCAATCGCATACCACCTAATTGACACCGGGCACGTAGTCATGCCTAATGATTCATTTCAAGTCATTAACCGCGTGCAAAATAGACTACCAGTATCTATTCAACGACTTTGCTTGACAACGGCCGAAGCAGTCGCTATACGTCTGCAAAACCCGGAAGCTATTCTGTACGCGCTTTCCGTTGCATCGGTGCGACCGAACTCAGGCTCGGGATATCGAGTCTTGAACTTTGTTTACTGGACTGGATGCAGTTGATCAGGGTATCTTTCGATAGACATAGACCACAAACAGACTAACCGATGTCATCTTCTAACCCTTTAAGAGTGTCTCGGTGGATTTCGCCGAACATGACCGAATACGTCAGCCTAGATAGCAGGTAGTTCCTTGTGAGGTCGATTCTTTGATGTGGCTTCGATTTGTCATGTAGCACCTGCCGCTGATGCAACTACTAGTGAAAGGAAGAAGACTTTCGATGCGGAGTTATTCATTAGGAAATGCCAACTGACCGGTTACAGAACAATGAACAGGGAAGCAAAACTCTAATTTGCATCTAAGTTACAAAAACTGGACACCCATCTTATCCCGAACGAGTCTTCTTGAACATTCCTCGAGATTCATTGACTCCACTCATTCACCGGTCAAATCCAAGCAAATATTACAAGGTGGCTCCACGAACTCCGCAACAGATCTCCCTTTTTCAATAGACGCAAAGCGAAATCCCACGAACAACACATACTACTCGCGTGCCTCCCATCAGTAGTATCACCGTTACACTAGGACCAATAATGATACTAAGGAAGGTCGCGGATTAGAATCTGGTAAGATGCTGGTTTCAGGCGGTTTGCTGGTTATTCTCACCAGAGTTGAATCGAGGAGTCGCAGCTGAAGGCACTCAAACCTCCTTGTAGCTTGCGAAATCATTTGCGTGGTACTTTGGAGACAACAGCACCAGACTCAATGACCTATCAATCATCGGAATGTCTTTTTTCACTGCTGACGTCGCAGTCGTTCACCTCGGCCGTGAGGAGACTATCTTTTTTCACTTGTCCTGTTCACGGGTGACTCACACCGATACCGATTCATCAAACTAATACGGCTACGCTGTATTCGCTAGTTGTTCATGCGCCGTCTATCCATTTTTAAACAGTAATAATAATAGAACAACAAGACATATTTGTGGAGCTCTTCCCGGAGGTTGCGCACTTTCGGACATGCAAAACTCATCATCCTCTTGGAAGTACTCTGTATTCGTGGCGCACCCTTTGGTACATACCTTCGTAGTTCATTATCATACAGCTGCGAACGACACCAACTGGTAAAAAGAAAGTCGTCTGTAAGTTGTTCTACTCATTTATGGTAAGTAGGACTTTTCACAGTCACCATATTACAAAGGATCCTTTTGAGGAAGCTGATATTAGTTGATCTGTTGGATCGGTTTTGTCAAATGGGACAGAACCAACTAAGGGGTAAATCAATGATAGACGACTCAATACGCGTCTATCTACCATGGGCTGTTTGCTATTCAGGTAGCACACGTTTCTTCGATTCTTGTTGCGGCGAATTTGCCCTTCTTTCACTCACGTTGCACTGTTATTGAGCACATAGCCTTGTCGGACCGGATATATTGAAGCTTAATTTGGTCCCGCTCTTATACCCATAAGCTAGTCGAATAGCCCCATCCTTGTTTACGTGTTATGGTTTTTCGCGCCCTAACCTTGAATAGAGACGACCTCCTCAGATACGTTCGACGTTAATTATCCGCCTTGGGTTTCCGAGCCCTGTACTTTCATTGCTAAACTACCTGGGTCCGTACACACATAAAAGTCCTACAATGTGAGTTCGAGCATTCCTTTCACCACGGAAATCTTATGCACGCTCGGCTTGAACCAGCGCCCTAATTGGCAGTAACAAGTCCACTTTAACGGTTTTCCGGGCGGCTACTCGTTACTGTCACCCAAACCGGGCAGCTGTAGACTTGGATATGGGATAGGACATGCACAAAAGACATTTTCCAACCCATGTCTAGGCTGCCTTCTTTTTGGAGGTGACTTTTTAAGAGAAGATTATCTCTCAAAACGCAAAGAAATCTGGAAACAAGTCAGTCCGCTTCCTTTTAGGATCACTCACTCTCGGGGTTACTATCTTTAGGGCAACAATTTATGTGGAAATAGCTTATGATGCAGTTGGCCGTACATACACTGTTCGGGATAGCTGCTTCAATTTCGGTCTGTTTGACGAGCTTAGCGGTTAGATTGCAAACGTTTCATCACCAATTGAGGTGGCGTCGTTAGTGCGGGATCGAATTGGTGCAGTCGTAAAATACAAGCTTCCAGAGAATCCTCGTCAGGTCGTATCATCAATCATCTTTCAGTCACGGAGTCTGCATCACTGGCTCCTCGAGTGACGACTTCTCAGGACCAAGTTTCACTTTTGCGTGTGAATTACTACTATTTCTTCTAAGCTTTTTATAGATTGTTAGCAAGATGGGAAGATTCAGGACTTATCAACAGAGATATCCCTATTGGTAATTATCAGCAGACGCGCATCTCAGGAAAATCAAGTGAACTTAGAATTCGCCACATCCGGACTGATAGTTTGAACTGTTAACAGTTCAGTTGTGAGCATGCATCCATGCAAGATATAGCCCCGCTCGCTGATCTATCCGTTCTATTCTTTATGGAGTGTTGACATGGCTGGGGGCGGTGGTGTGTTGCCGGACGGTGACCTTTACAGTCGTTCCTTTCACTGTCCTATCCATCTAATTCAGTGATCTGCTAAAAGCAGGTGCTACTGACATGGAGAGGTATAGGATGAGGCATACCATCATGTGCGATAGTTCGCCGAGGATACGGATAACTGGTACTGGCCCTACATTGTTCAGTAACTTCGTAGAGAATTCGGTTTTGAAATTTAGTTAATCCCGGCTTTCAACTATAACATTTTCCATCCCTATTGAAGTTGCGTCACATTTTAAACTATGCTTTTGTCATGATAACGAACACCCTACTGGTGGAATGCAGCAAGAGCATCGTTGGTGGTGCGACTGCCTTTTGGTGGCTCTCCGAAGTCAGTGACGAATAAATTTCTGTTGTTTTATTGTCCCTTGGAGGCAGGTGAAATCATCCTTCTTCTAGAAAGAAGAACGTCCTACAGACGATTATTGGAGCGCTTTTTACGGAAATCTGATCGTGAATGAAAAAAGTAAGCTATGTCAAGAGATTTCCTTGTGAAGATGTACTGTGCCGCAAAAATGTGCCTTGGATTGGATCGATAACTTGTTTTCTCTGTACATCCGGTTATTAGATGCTTCAGCTGATTTGACTCTGGACCAAAACCGAGAAAACTGACGACTAAAAAACTCAATGTGGAATCCAACTGAAAGCATTGCATCGTATTGCATCTTAAGGTAAGCAGTGAGTCATATTTCATACAATAAACGGTATTACATATATCTCTGCCAGTCTACCACCAGTCAGTATATTAGTTGATAAAGCTTCTATATGAAAATGTACTTTTAGGATGAGCCAGACTCTGGGGTCCGCCACTGGTTTTACCGGAGCTGTGAAGAACGATCACACATGAATACCGGCCTGCACTGGTTCCTCAGCTTGTGCCGTAATACGTGTGGTGCGTGCCTTTATTAAGCTGATTCATCGATCAATCGATCAATGCATGTATGACATCTGTTCATGCCTGGACTACTTGAGCCGGATTTTCTCAGTAAACTAGAAGCTATGCAGGCATACGTTGTGCGGGTGTGATAGTCAGATAATATCGATTTTTATCGATTGGTCTGAGATGTGTCGTTGAAGTTTTCTTTCAGCTCATTCTCTTTTCCATGATTTTTACTAATCATTTTCCATGATACAGAGAATCAAGACTAGCCCAGTATGTGAACGCTTTTATGGCAGCACACCTGGTGGGTCAGGAGCGCGCAAAAGACTCTGAACCGGTGGAAAAAGAGAGAACAGGCACAGAAGTCTTGGATCTCGATGAACGCCAGCTGACAGCGGTGGGAAGTATCTCCCTTGCGGATTCAGAACAGTCTGGCAAGAAAGTATCACCTGTCACACCAATGCAGATTGTCCGTATTGCTCTTCCGGCCAGCGGTGATGCAGAAAGCGACAGTGAAGGCAAAGATATAATTCGACCTCAATTGAGCTCCGAAAACAACGAGAAACTGTTCATCTTTGCGGACCAGTATATAAATGCATCGACGGAGTCTGATTTCGTGTCCCCAGCGGCAGTGCTCTCGATCGGAAACCGTATGGACAAAGAGAATGGAGATAAGCTTTCAGATAAAAAGCTCAGCGAAGCGTTGCTGCGACTTCAAACTAGTCAGCCTGCATTGCGCTGTGGCATAGTGAGTCCTGCCCTTTGTTCATCGTGAATTTAAATGAGAACTATTTACAACACGATTTGTGGTGTAGAGAAGTTTTGAAATTCCGATAGAAGCTTCACCCTGCAAGTTCTGAAGGAAACTAAGAGTGGCCTACTGGAGATCATTAGCAGCGCGCATCTAAGGACTCTTAGGGAAGTTCGAATAAGCTAGTACTTGTAAGCTATTTCACTCGGCTACCGGCTGACTACGACTTATAAGAAAAAACCCTTCAGTCATTGGTGTACAACACAAACTGAGCGGTTATGAACTAGTAGATACGTAAGTGAAAATTTCATTCACACAGAGTAGTTGAAAAGTGAGTATTCTCAAGCGTCCCCTTGAACTTCGAATAATAAAGGAAAATGAACGAGTACTGCAAAACGGTTCCATTATTTGTGTACCAACCTGCCACCAGATGCGGAGACGGTGCTTTGATACACGATCAGATACTGCTCACATGTTTCATCAATAGTATACACCGTCACGTGGCCGGTCAGCATTAAGCACTACTTATCCCTTAGTCACGCGACTCACACGATGCGATTGCCTATTGGTTGGCTTCTGGAGTGAAGTGCTACCCTGAAGATCCGCGATAACAGCTAGCGAAAAACATTCTGCCTCAACTGGCAAATGAAACAGTAAAGAATAATTTGTGGTTACCATTTTTCATCTCCGTGTCATACAGGCAAATTTCGTAACGGCTGTTCATGTTTTGGCTCTCTATAATGAGTGACTTTTTTCATTGAGTTCGCACCTGTTGGAAACAATGTAATTTTTTATTGCCCGCGCTTTCTGCTTTTGCGGTGCTCAAGGCAGGTTCAGTAAATTCTAATATCATCTTAAGCCATTTTGTGACTCCTAAACGTTTTGCACAGTTACAGTCTTCCAGTTGAGGTCATCTCACAGTGGGGTAGCACATCGATGTGGTGTAAAGTAAAACTGAAGCATCACTTGTACGATTGCACCGACTTAGCAGTGGTATAAGTTAAACCAAGATGTAAAAGAAACCTGTTTTTTTCTGCTGGCTTCCGTTTGGCCGTACTGAACAGACAAATATATGTAAACACGCCGGCAGGGTATTCGTTATAGCAGGTTAATTCCCACTTATCAGTAGCGATATACTCGTCGAGAATATCAGTGAATGAATGTATTTAATATGGGGTGCTTGAGCGTAGAAATCATTGAAATCGGCACGCAAAAGCTTTGTACAGGTTGTACCCCTTTGTTTCCGCCGAACATCCTAGTTGTTGTGACCATTGCTACTGGGAACATTAGTTTGGTCAACTGAAATCTAGCTACGCAGATTTTGGTGAACGAGCTGGCAGAACCTGGTATGTCGAATTTGACTAGAATTTATGTAGAATTTATGTAGTTGATCAACAGATCCTAATCTACCATTGTGAAATTCGTGATTGTATGACAGACGAGTAGATACCAACAGTGTGAGTTAGAAGGATCGATTGAGACGTAAGATCTGCTTGTTTGGGTGCGTGCCAAACTGGCAATGCAAACCACGTTTGGGAAGTGGCGTGTACCATCAAGTGTATAAAAATGGCATGTATAGGAAGCAGTAGAGTATGGTTTGTCCTGTTTTTTGGGGTTATTTTAGTTTTTGATGGTGGCATGTGTTTACTATTGTCCGTTTACCATCGTCTGAAATCAGATGTGTCGACGGATCTATGAAATAGCTTGAATCCACTTTCCGTTTCCTTCTGAAGGGACGTTCACCGATCAAAAATAAACTTGAAGCAATCGAATTCCAGCTACAGTCGATGAAAGCGGAACTGAAACTTGTTCGAACACAGCACACGGAAGTTAAAGGTAACTTTATAATATCAAGTAATGAATAGTTCCGAATTGTTTAATGACTATACCTGAGTGAATGTTGCGCGTCTCATTAAGCGACCGTGACTGAAATACTGGCCAGTCGGTGACTGAAGAGAGTCACTCTAGATTATTTGGTCGGTAACTGGAAGTTGTAAAATCCGTTTGACTTACACTTGTCTTCGCCGGTTTCATCAGCACTAGTGAAAGCAACAGCGGATGAGAATACTGGGGCTTCACTGTCGTAAAAACCATGTCAGTCTATCTGAATGAAGCCTTATACTGCAGAGAAAAAAATTGGGCTGGAAGAGTAATCTGAGACGAGCCTACATTGAGCATCTAAGACGCCTACATATCTGCCAATATGGATAGAAACTGACCGCATGAACGCCTCTGATATCATTCAAAGCCTTTAGAGGAGCATGGGGAGAGTCACGTACTAGCAGCACCTAAGCGCTCCCTCATATCCTGATGGTGAGTAATGACAGCTCGTATAAGGGGAAAAGGAACGGTTGAAATTGGGTTTGAAAAACGCTGTTCTGGTTCATACAACGGAATCTCCTTCAAATAATCCTGTTTTTGAACAACTTTCTCAGCAAATAAACTTTACTTCATTTCTTTTCCGTTCCCAATAACTCTTTGATTTAATTTTAGCAAGCCTGGAGTCGGAATTCATAAGCATAATAGAAAAAACCCAACCAAAGTTGGTAGCGGAGTGCCAAAAGACTTTCAAGGTAGGTAGTATCCATAATGTTCATGCTAATATGCATTTATTTTATATCAGTCTTCTTCCATGCCATGTCTTTATCCTATGTGTTGATAAAATTTCTGCCAACAGGAAGTCCTGAAGAGTGTAGGTCTTTCGGAGAATATGCGCATCGCATTTACAGTGTATGGATTCATTGGGATGAAGGCTGTGTATAAAACATGATTCTGGTGGATAAACACAGTGGTAATCTACCGAAGTCTAGTTTGACGTGTGATTATCTACCATGGTGTGTGCACTACTGATTTCAGAATAGCGGTGCCACTTACTTATGGACAGGCTAGTAGGCAAGTGAGATTGCGCATTGATAAACACGGAAGGACTATCCGTATTCTTCCCCTAAATGTGCCTCAGTGTCAAAGTCAACCTTCACCTTGCATTGTCTGCCTTGATCCTGACCCGATCAACTCACACTTTACAATCGGAACACGTATAGTGATGCTCTGTGTAGCGAATGGGGTCTCGTACCCGGTGCAAGTGCATCAACGAAAACTGCTGTCTTTACATAACTCTTATCCGGTCAAAATCGATCAACGGCAAAAGCAGTCAGGCGCGTGATTTGGTTGCTTCACCCTGAAACCATCCAAACTAGCCAGTTAAACGGTTTTGTTGTGCTTATAGGCGTCAGCTTGGCTCCGTGTTTTGTCATTGCGAGTGGTTCACTCATAGAGAGGGTCACGCATGGTGGTCCGAAACTCGGGCAATTAACGTTGCGTTATTCCATCATAATTCAGCTAAAGGTAGTGTGACTGACTTTTGTGGGCAACCAGGTCAATAAGCTGCAGTTTGTACCACTTTGCACTCTGAATTATTTCACGGAGAAGACTAAATAACACAAAATGCGTTCTTTTTAGCTTGGTCAAGGAGACTTGCCTCTCAGAACATCTGGCACTAACTGGATGCCAGAAATGGGTTGTTTTTTGTCGGGAGAGCCTCCTGCATGTCAGATTAAGACTTCAATAGTAGCCCAAGATTCCCCATCTTTAACAAACTTACGCAGAACTACATTTAATCCTATGTTCTGTCAGGCAATCAATTATTCTGACGAATTTCGTTCACTCCTTCCCCCGTTTCCAGGATTGTTATGGAACCTTTGGGGAACAACTCAAGGCGAAAATGAAGAGGCGCGAGTATCTTAAGGTACACGTCCAATGTCATGACACCGTACTTTTCGTTTAAATCCTTATCGCTTTTGGATGTGTACGATAAAAACAACGAAGTCCCCATATTTGAAAGTGTGCCTTTTGTTCAAGGGTAGTGGTTGATGTGATCCTAAGCCGTTTGCAGTTTATCACTTAGGCTGAAAACAAGTCATTTTTGGGTAAACAACAGGGCCCTTGGCTAATGTAGGCAACAAAGCAATTCAAAAGGTCATGACTAATGCGACCAGGTGGAGGGAACATCAGCCACACAGTCATTCTAATGTCTGCTATCCCTATTGTTTACGGAGATTCGCAATGTTAACCTCTCAGATAGTTTTTTCGATGTGTCAGAGTAAACGTTTCCATAAAGTAATTCCTCAGAACAGAAGCGGCCTGTGTAACCAAGGCCCAAGAAGGTTCAGCTGATCAATAAACGCAGTTAACATTTGTGAGCAGTTGCTGCCATTCACCGCGGGACTTAGGACGGTGAATGGCATCGTGCAACCGGACTGCAGCCTTTTACGGTCGATTCGATAACTTCGTCCTCTATTATTCAGTATCATGAAGTCATGAGAACTTGAGAACCGCTCAAAATGAACCTAGTTATCGCGTTGGTCAGAAAGAGACTTTTGAGTGAACTTATCGGCCTTCGCACAAGCCTTTTTTCACTCATTTCCGGCTACAATCTCATCTCATCAAGAAACAATTTAGTAGACCGATCATTTGATGTACCTCGGTTTATTCATCCAATAAAAAATTGAATTGAAAATCCAGTTACTAATTACAATCTGCTATCAGTTAACAGTGTTAGGTTTTCCAAGACTAACATGCATACGGTCAGCGTGTTGTAACAAAACAGAACCAAAGTTTTCGACCAACCTCTAATTTGTCAAAATAAAAGGTGACAGATTGGCTAGTCGACAGCGGATACGTCAGTATTCTTAACAGATAAGTGGGATCGATTTGTCACGTGACTCCAACTTTCAAGGTGTGTAGAGTAGATTGAGTGGTGCTGCTCTCTACGGCAATTCGAAAAAGGCAGGACATTTCAGAAATTTGCATGGCCCAATAAGTGCTGACTTGGCACTGTTGCTAGGAGATCGTGACATGTTGCTGAGACTATCGGCTTGCCCCTAATTTCCGCACGCAGATGTTCAAAACTGAGTACATCAGAGGTTTCTTCGCAAAGTTTATAGCTACAGACCTTGCAAATTAACCAGTCAGTTTAATCGGAATACCACACACCCTTCATGACCAGTGGGATCCGTTATTTTTTGTCTCCGGAAGCGCCCACTATGTCGTTCTATCTGGATACATACTCATTTGGTATGCGTTATACAAATTCGAAAGGGTTTTATCCGAGATGCGTGCTGGTTAGTAGGGCAGTTGAACATTTTATGTGATTAGACAGTAAGTAGAAAGCACAGTGCCGAACTCAAACATTTTTTGACTTGGAATAATGGTGCCATTCTTGTGGGCGTTTGGTTTGACAGTTCATCCTCAACGAGGACTCTANACTAAAATGATTTTGATTACCTATTAAGACCAGAACTACTATTTATTCAACATTATTTTCTCAGGCAATAGAATTTAATCAAACGATCCAAACTAAGCCGTTTTTACTAGTGAATATCGCTTTGTTCTTACCATGTTTCCGCACTTGCTAAGTTCTATCATTCGTTTGCAATCACATGAACTCGTGAAGGTCGTTCTATCGTTCCAAACCCATAAATTTCTGAAGGACTCTCTGGACATAACTCATTCAAACATAGTGAAGTATTTGTTTAACTGGATACAGCAAGTAACAAACTTTGTTCAACCTGGCATGAGAATTTGTGTCGTTGATACTGCATCAACAAAATTAAAGTAAAGTATTCAGCGCAAAGTTCCTAGTCTAACCAGTTCCATTCAGGTATGTCTACTGTTAACTTCAGCTTTGCTAACACTTTTCGAAGACTGGTTCCATCTATGAGCTTCGTACGCGTCCAGTTGAAATACGGGTCCATCGACAGTTGGATTGGTTAGATTATCTCACTATCGATGGTTCCCTTTACATGTATTGTGATATTTTATACATTTCATGGCTAGCTGTAGTAATTGCAAAACTTGAGTTTACCACTTCTTTTCACCTTGATGTTAACTCACCGGACAATGGGCCAGGACAGGAGGAGCAGTGTTCAGACGACAGCGAAAAATGACACAAATCTCGTGACAATATGTAGTAAAAAACCGTCTCGGGGATCGCTTACAGAGAGTATGTCCCAAGTGGTAGAAGGTAGGAGGAAACCGCACGTAACACATTTAGCACTGAACATCCTGTGACTTGCGTGGGAAGAAACCATATACAGTGTGTGAAGCGAGGGAGATACAGGAAAGCTTCAACTACCGACACTTCCGACAAGCCAAATCCTACAGTAGGCAAAACACTCGTGTCCATTGTGGAGGATGACTTTTGTTGTTCTTTTATTCGATCACCGTGCATGTCGTTCATTTACTCAATAAATATGTTCAAACAAGCCCTGTCCGTACAATCTCGACGTGGAATCCCCTATTTTGGTTTGCCCCTTGAAGCCTGCATTGCGATTTGGACCAATTCTTCCATATGGTATATCTAATCTATCCCTACTTTTACTAAGTGTAGGCAGCGAGGGTATGAGTGAATGGAGCGGAATGGCTCAGTGGTTAGAGCGTGAACTTACTGACCGGATTGTCTGTGGTTCGAACCCAGTCTATGCATCCCGACCTCTTTTATTTAGGTTTAGGTAACCTGGAAATATCCAAGCTCTCATATTTCCGCAGCGTGGGTGCTAGGCACCGAAAAGGGGCTTCAGCTGAACCATGCTTATTATTTTATTTATGACTGAGTTGCCTATGGGCAACACAACTTACATTCCAACAGCAGTAATGAAAAGTCAGTGTTTGAGGTGAAAGTCACAGCACTTTTTGGGGCACTGATTCAAACTAATGCGATTATCGATTTCAGTATAATACGTGTAATTCAAGATGGGTAGAAACAACGCGTTCTCCATCACCAGGTTGATTAGATGTTTCTGAAAGCAAACAGTTGTGGCGACAAGTTCTGTGACAGGGAAAAAACAGACCGTATTTACCCAAGTCCTTTAGAAATAAATGTTGTGAAACTCCTCTGAATCTAAGGTTACTTGTCATCAAATCGATCACGCCTAATCAACTCATTCTCAACTACTTCTGGTTTTCAGGTTTTGACCAGTTTCAATCTGGGTGCAAAATTTCACCAAATGGAGATTTTGAAACAGCGCATTAGATACGCACAAAGTCGTGTGAAAAGGCTTTACAAAAAAAGAGAAAAATGGCAAGAGCGAAGTCGATTGGAAGTGTTCAAAAATTGGGGTTTACCAAGAGCTGATTTACCACGGTTTAAATTTTGGGAACATATCGCAGACCTAGAACATATAAAAGTGAGTAAATAGGGAAACGTTTCTGATACAAAAACAATTTATGATTCAAAAATTAACAATATTATGATTTTACATGCTACTGAGCACATAGTCTGTTTCTTTGGCCGCGGACTCCTTCGAATATATAGTTCCCTTCTCTGAAACATCTGATAGTTCATAAAGAATAAATTGCTTTCGATAAATACTCGCAGTTGTACACGAATCTGGTTTTGACAGGGGAATCAGATGAATGCAGCTGAACCTCCCATTTATGATGGCCTGCTTCAGCTGGGTTTCAGTTAAGTCTTCGATGAAAACCAACTTCGTGTGCAACTGAGAGCAATTGTCGAAATCTGTCCAATCGGTTTCCTAGTTGAAGATGAAGTGGACGGAAACTCGGGGACTGCCTCTATCTGATGAGTCCCAATAAAGACGAAACCGGTTTTGAGCTGTCAAGGTATGAGTGCTGTGTTTTCTTCAATTAATTGCCTTGTTAAACTTGCATTCGGTTGAATGATGCCGTAAATGTGAGGTTCGAAATTATTGGATACCCTCTTACGACTAAAAGAATAGTCGATTTTTTTCTGATTTCCTGACAAATAGGAAATACATTTACTAGTTGTGTAGGTATGATTTTTTGCTGATTTCTTGACAAATAGGAAATAAATTTACTAGTTGTGCAGGTATGATGGAAAAGGAACTATCCGATTTTAAAGTCATGTTGGCGTTTTCAGCCATGACTTTGGTCAATCGTGGGGCTTTTACGCTTTCCCTTTTGACATCCAATAGATAGAACTTTGCATATTCAGTCTTTGAAATAATCGTTTTTGTAAAGGTATTCAGCAGCTTCAATTGCAGTATCTTCTCTTGATCGGAACTTTGCAAAAGTTAAGCATATTTGTTCGTGCTGGATTGATGATCCTGTCTGGGGGCAAAATGCAGTTTGAACTATTATGGTTATTAAGTGTAATCCACTCTGCAAATTGCGAGTTTTCAATATTAATCTTGTGTCAAATGGAGGGAGCCGTAAAAATTAAACTATTGAACGACTTTGATGAATCCAGGGACTAATCAATCTTCATTCTCCCAGTCTTTCTCCAAAGAGGTGCATAACTCGTATACCCGACAATCCCTTGTGGCAATACTCTGGTTGCGAATCCACCAGGATACCAGTGAAAGGAAGATTGCCTACGATGCGGAGTTTGTTTGTTGGAAAACACCAACTTGACAGTTACAGACTATTGGACAGCGAAGTGAAGCTTTCATATGCATCTTGTTTATAAAAACTGAGTATACGCCTTTCTCTCGAACGCGTCTTCCTTAACATTCCTGGATACTGACTGACTATCGCTCAAATGTAGACGAATGCTACAAAGCAGTTCCACAAATTCCGTAACGAATCTCACATTTCAATAGATGCGAAGCGGATCTACGAAAAAACAACTTACTACTGGCTTGCTTCATCATAGTATCCACCACCGGTATTGAAGCATTTTAGTGAAACGACAGCATTCCAATTATTGTGTTAAAAAACGGTCACGAGATCCGGGTGTTTGTTTCCTAGCTGAATTCTCGGTTCGATATTCAAAATGTATACTTTTTGTTTATGCATGGCAGTGAATTGGTGGTCGAAAAGATTAGTGCAAGAACGGGCGTCCTACAGATCGTCTCATGGCCATCATGAGTTTGAAGTGTTCGATTGGATAGGACGACGATCTTGCAAGATAAGTAGCGCACACTTCGTTGCTGTCACCCCGAATAGGGACAAAGAGTTTGCGAGCAAACTGGCAAACTCACCGAAAAGGTAAACGGCTGTTTGATCTAACAAGAAGGCCTTTGTGAAGAATATCCGTTTAAGAGTATCACAAACGGGTCGTCCCTTAAGATCGATTTAGATTAAAAGTGAGTTCGCTTTGCCACAACCGAACAGTTCAGTCTTTGATATGACATTAGGTTGACGGGATCTTGCAGAATCCCAGACGATCCATAAAAAGGCGCAGCTGGTCGATGAGATTTCGGCAATCCTATGAGTATTGTGTTGTGTCAGGAGTAGATTTGAAATCTCACGGAAGTAACAAACATCTCCGATCAGTGGCTGAAGTGTAACTGTTATGGATTGACCAACTACCGAGGAAAACCAGGATCATGCTTTGATCTTGCGGCTTAGGAAACTAATTGCACGACAACAGTTCTCGTTTAATTAGATCACCGGATTTATTCTGTTTCTTTAACTACCATTTTATGAAGTAAAATAATAGGGCTGGGGACGAAAGCTTATCTTTACTTATGCTGACTGTCATGATCCTATCAATCACATTTTCGTATAACAGAGGCGTCCTCCTTACACGGAGGAATTTTGAAAATTTGGACTTAACGGCCTATGCTCTACTTACTTACAATCTTTTTCAGAAAACTGAGTTACAGTCACAAGATTTCCTGTATGCGCTCAGCTTAATCAACCCAGATTTGAAGTTCAACAATCAGTCAGAAAATATCTGTGAGGTAAGTGTCTTCTTTCTGATCACAGATCAAAATAACGACTGCTTTGAATATAAATATTGGTGCATCGACGTGTCTTGTCAAACGTTAAGGCATCTGGTGAAAGATGAAAGTTGACAATGAAACAATGAAACTGCTTTGCGGTGTTTGTTCATTATTATTTGATATTCAGGGAACATCCAGCAAAGCTGCAAAGATTGCCTGAGAATGCTCAGTTTGATCCGCAGGTTCTCCACTGACAACTCGTCCGGTAGCTTCTGTGAATCTAACGTAGCTAGCAGCACTCGCGTCGATTCCGGTGCTAGACGCACCAAACTCTTCATGATCAGCCAGCTAATTGCTCTCACCGATCCTAAGGGGGACTCCACCGAACCCGATTTACCCCGGTCGGTCTTCAGTCCAGGGGCCTCTGAGAGGTCTTCGAAATCCTTCAGGATAACACAGACATCCCCTTCCTTGGGTGGTTATGGCCTTGACACTAGCTGAAGTAAATAGGGCCCTTAGACAGGGGACATCCTACCAACCTGCCCGAACTTAGCCGCTACGAGCTATTAAACACGGTTTTTGAATAGTGAACATTCTCAAGCGCCCTATTAAACTTTCTTGGACGTTCTTTAAGTATTGAACAAAAAAAGAACAAGCACCGTTATGCGGTTTCATAGTTTTCTTACCAACCTCATTCCATCGGATGCGGGGACGGTGCTTCCACACTTTAGGGGGCAAAACGCGTGCTTTTAATCAGTAGTGAACACTGGTACTGTAGTATCGTCATAGTATCGTGAGTAATACTACTGAGAGAGGCTTGTGTGTTACCTTGTCCATGTTCACTCCAAAGTAAACCGAAGAACTTCAGATCACAGACAGTAATAGTTGTTTTACTGAAAGCTAACGATTCAGAGATGAACACAGGCAACACGGTTTCCAATGGTGATTGCTGACTTTTCACCTGATTTACGCAGTTTTCGTGCTACTCTTTGATCACCAGTCGAGATTCATGTCTATAAATGTGCGAAACTGACTGGACTGACTGTGGTTGGTGGTGCATCCGGGCATCATTGCTAGATTGTCTGTTTGTGTCTGTTGGCCCGCCAATGTTCGGAACAAATTGAGGCTCGCCTCTTCGGTTCCGTGCTGTCGTAGCTTGCTCTGACCCATGGAGCAGGTGACACCCCACTCTCAGTGGGGCAGAAAAAGGACTAATATCTGTAAGTCGCCGGATTTAGTTGTCGTGGCTTATTACGTGTCTATGGTATCTTTTGCTATTATCATATTCCAACATATCAAGGTCTTTAGGTTCCATAGACTGAACATATGTCATTATGACTTCATCTCTAGAGAAACGGAGGATGACTGGCCTCTTCTGGTACTAACAGCATGTTCTACTATCTAGTAAAGTACATATAATGTTTCCAGCGCCTGCTTTTGGATGTGCCACTCGGTTACCCTGGGGTTTTTCTCTCGGAAGTCGCACGGAAAAAGCCCCGCCCCAGATAGCAGCATCAACCACATGCACGATATTTCAAGATCGAGGAAAAAAACCAACGAAGGCACAGCAGTCAGTAGCGTACACTACGCCATTTCCACAGGCTGCAATAAATGTGGTACTATAGAGACTGGAGCGGAGAGGTCTAGGTTATCTGACACTTGGATTCCGGCGATCAGCAGATGGATTGACCAGCAACTCATCATGCACGCTTACACTCATCACCTTTCAAGATCTCCCACGGCTGAAATATCCTTCGTAACGATAGGCACCCACAACACCTACGCTTATTCATAATGCACTGTTGACGAGATATTTGCTTGCTGTTCGGTCTAAAGAGCATGTCAACAGCGGAAATCTGCGTCTTGGGAAACTGTATCCCATGGGCAATTCCGCCGCCCGCAAATTAACTATCGTTTCCCAGACAGGTGCTTCTGCTGATAAACCAAAGTAATTTTGACAGACTCTCCCGGTTGTACACAAATTCGGTTTTGAGAAGAGACTCGACTGAACCCAGCTGAATCGCCCCTGTTGATGGTTCGTTTAAACTAGATATACCGCACCGGACCGTCTCATACTTCAGTCGACACGATATTCGAGATATCGAGCAACAATGTCTATACGTAACATTAGTCATATGGTTTTTGAAAGCTCCTAGTAAGCCTATGGTCGGCTTTGCCCTTCTTGGAGCTCATCTGGTAGGTGAAGTTCTCGAGTTCCGTCAACCTTAGAGGCTCGCCTCTTCGGTTCCGTGCTGTCGTAGCTTGCTCTGACCCACGGAGCAGGTGACACCCCACCCTCAGTGGGGCAGAAAAAGGACTAATATCTGTAAGTCGCCGGATTTAGTTGTCGTGGCTTATTACGTGTCTATGGTATCTTTTGCTATTATCATATTCCAACATATCAAGGTCTTTAGGTTCCATAGACTGAATATATGTCATTATGACTTCATCTCTAGAGAAAACGGAGGATGACTGGCATCTTCTGGTACTAACAGCATGATCTACTATCTAGTAAAGTACATATAATGTTTCCAGCGCCTGCTTTTGGATGTGCCACTCGGTTACCCTGGGGTTTTTCTCTCGGAAGTCGCACGGAAAAAGCCCCGCCCCAGATAGCAGCATCAACCACATGCACGATATTTCAAGATCGAGGAAAAAAACCAACGAAGGCACAGCAGTCAGTAGCGTACACTACGCCATTTCCACAGGCTGCAATAAATGTGGTACTATAGAGACTGGAGCGGAGAGGTCTAGGTTATCTGACACTTGGATTCCGGCGATCAGCAGATGGATTGACCAGCAACTCATCATGCACGCTTACACTCATCACCTTTCAAGATCTCCCACGGCTGAAATATCCTCCGTAACGATAGGCACCCACAACACCTACGCTTATTCATAATGCACTGTTGACGAGATATTTGCTTGCTGTTCGGTCTAAAGAGCATGTCAACAGCGGAAATCTGCGTCTTGGGAAACTGTATCCCATGGGCAATTCCGCCGCCCGCAAATTAACTATCGTTTCCCAGACAGGTGCTTCCGCTGATAAACCAAAGTAATTTTGACAGACTCTCCCGGTTGTACACAAATTCGGTTTTGAGAAGAGACTCGACTGAACCCAGCTGAATCGCCCCTGTTGATGGTTCGTTTAAACTAGATATACCGCACCGGACCGTCTCATACTTCAGTCGACACGATATTCGAGATATCGAGCAACAATGTCTATACGTAACATTAGTCATATGGTTTTTGAAAGCTCCTAGTAAGCCTATGGTCGGCTTTGCCCTTCTTGGAGCTCATCTGGTAGGTGAAGTTCTCGAGTTCCCGTCAACCTTATGTTCACAACCAACCAAGCCAAGCTGGGTAGAATTCGCCAAATATTGTTATGTTCACAAGCGAGAACTTGATGTTGATAGCTAAGATATCGCATCAACTTGAACGCGATGTGGCCTATTGCAGCATATTTAGTTGGAGCGGATCATTATAAACGAGTCGTTTGACTGGATTCAGGAGAGAATTCTTTAAAAATCGAACTTTCATGCAGTTGCATGTATTCTTTCAAATCTGTCCACTTTGGGTTCAAGTAGAACATACGTTTGACGTAAGCTCCGGGTAGCGCACACATGATGAGACCTAAGAGGAGCAAAACCAGTCGTGTGCTGTCCAAGAGCTTAAAGTAAACTTATGAACAGTGTGCTACGTTAATGACGCCTAAAGCAGTGCTATCTACTTATAATTTTATAAGATGTCGTGGGTTGTGCTGATATTTCTGGTGCCTACATAATGAAGGTGGCTGTGAAACTCGTTTCCACTCCTTGGGATGCCGATTCTTTGTTTTCTATATTGCAGTAGGAATGTCTAACCTGCCAAACAACACTGTAAATCGCACACTATTAAGAAAGCCAATATTTTCAAGTCTGAACATTGCATCGGAGCATGACGGAAGAACGTTGGTCAACAGGGGTATTCAGAAAATCCACTCAGGATTAAACCTAAAAATTGTAGGCACGGTCAATTTCTATGGAATGCATTCATTGGAAGAAATAATGGACTTCATAAAGACCCAGGAGGGTGCGCTAGTTTAATTACTCTCAAAATGGACACTCAGTCCTCACGCATCGAAGTGTCTCAACTTTCCCTGATATTGCGCATCGTACCCAATTCATCTTTATTCAAATTGATATGTAGCATCAGTGGACAAGAGTATATTAATGAAATGGTTATCGAGCTCCTCACCGTTCGTTCAGCAGAACGTGTGCTTTTGGCTGAGTGAATGAGTGAACTAGTGAATGACTCAGTGAGGTGAGTGGGTGAGCGAGTGAGTGAGTGAGTGAGTGAGTGAGTGAGTGAGTGAGTTAGAGAGTGAGTAAGTGAAGCAACGACGAGAGGATAAACGCAAATTTTGCCCACGTTTAATTCCTGTGCTTTCCACTTCTGTGTAGGCATGACTTGCGCTTTCTAATCCAAGAAGGGTAGCTTCTCATCGCGCGCAGTTATTCGATTTAACCTGAACAATAGATAGACATCACACAAGGCAATATGTTATTCTTATAGCTTGGCGGAATTAGAGGGTTTGAAAGCACATGCCTGATGCAATGAAAATGGTGAACCTTTAGATGTTGAAACGCGGACAGTGTTCAACTGTCTGAATCGCAACTTTCTAAGTTGGATTACACACTGATCACCCCAATGTCTTTGTACTTCGGTCCACAGCTCATACCATTTCCAATGAATTGTTCTATGAATCTTCGACTTTTTCTCTGTCTCGTGGCACTCTCCGAACACACAACCGGTCTTGAGTAAGTGAACCTTCAATCATACAGTAGGCTCAATGGGTGTGATGTTGAAAGTTGGAAGGGTTATCCAAGGCAAATGGTTGCCAATTTTTTTGACTCAAAAGGAAAGTCTTTTTGGATTACCTTTTCAGTCTGTACTAAAATGCTCACAATTAAAAATGGAGTCAGTGATTCATTTTTTAATTTTTTCTCTGCGATGTATTGATTCTTTAAGTTCTAATATTTTGTATGCAACTGGTCGCGCCGGTGAGAACACTCCGACACACCATGCCGCCAGGGCGACTACATCTGCGCGAGAAGATCGTCTGCTGATCGATAGAACTTGTTGCTGCTTATTGTATCCAGCAACCTTATCCTCATGTCTCTGGCAACTCGACCAATTTGGGGGTGCCACCAATGTTGGTTAGACGACATTGTTCGATGTATGCCCTCAACTTTTATAAGTGTGCTCACGAAGTGTGCTGCCCAAAGAAATCAAATTAAATTTTTATACGAGGACACTATTTTTCCAATCTGCTTACGATTTCGAGTTATTCCACACACGATGGCCATTTTCGTTTCTCAGACTCCTTTTGTTTTTCATAGGTTGTCCTGCCTGTCAGTTTTATGTGTGGACCTTTCCTATTTGCTTATTTGTCCACACAATAGCATGCACTCTCTTATCCTTGTTTGAATGAAGCAAAGTAGAGATACCAGCGAAGTACACTCATTTGCAAACTACTTTGGTTTTGCGGGAGACTCACCTGGAACCCAACTGAATGTCTCGATTACGTTGTTTTTAATTAGTGTAATTTAAGCTCAAGTAGACCACAAGGTTGACGGAAACTCAGGGACTGCCCCTACTTGATGAAACCCAAGAAAAGCGGAACAGGTAGTAGGCTGTCAGAGTTTTCAGCAACCTTATGAGTAGTGTACTACGCCTATAGATGTATCACGATATCTCAAATATCGAATGAATCCTGAGGCCACCTGTGCAGCACATTCAGTTGCTTAGGGCACCATAGACGAGAGATCCCGCCCGTTCCAGGTGATTCTCTCGCAGAACCAAATAAGTTTGCAAATGAATGTATTTCATTATTTTCGTTCAATTTGGTTTCAGGTGGAAAATGAGGTTGATGAAAATTCGGTGACTGTGCCCACCTGATTAACCCCAGTCGTTGGCTGTCGAAGAATTTTCAGCGGCTTTATGAGTAGTGTATTGCGTCTATGAAAAACATGTGTACCACATAAAAGCCACTTCGTATTCTCTGCTCCGGTTTTGATGAAGTGTACGACTTGACAATGGCAAACGCATTATCTGTCCATAACCCTTGTTGATCAAGTTCAATTGTTAAAAATAAGAATGTCTACTCCGGCTGAACAAACATCGAAACTTCAAATCAATGAATGAATCAACGGTGAAAATCAGGCGTGTCATTTCGTTATGATTTCCTCATCCTGGATTAAAAGGTAGAAAAACAGCTAAAGGTGTCTTTGACTTAGGTTATCAATGCACCTAATTGCATCCAAATGCTTGCACAGTTCACATGCCCAAGTGACCGCGGTGGATAGATTCGTGTATTCAGAGTCAACGCAGCAATAGCCAGATATGAAGCTGAAGCCTTTCGAATCAAAGAGAGTTTAGAGGAGTTGCAAAGTAAAATAACATGAAAATATCTGTTTGTCAGTTTCATTTCGACTTCCAGGACAGAAGTGGACAAATTCATTGGTCGTCCAATACCTCTTATTGTAGTTGGTCTACATATTAATGAGCTCAGTCAAACAAATTACTCATTGTTCCTAGCCATCATAAATGCAGAGCTTCTGAATTCCGGATTCTCATCGTCCGCCTTATCGAATTCTATACCCAGACTCAGTTTGACCTTCTAGGTGACCGGTTAGAGGTGATAAAGCGGTGCGTTCTCTGTGTACTCAACAAATCGGGAAGTGTACAGTTGTGATCATTTTGGAATCCTACTATCGCCTGATGGAAGTAATCGAACTTCTTTTCAGAGGCCGCAATACAAATACGGAACAGTCTGTTGCCCATGTCTTCTCGTACAGATAACTACTAAGATACGCTGGTTTGGTTTTCACGCATTCGCTCACTATGGCCAACAGATTTTCCGAATCAGAAAACCGTAATGTGTTATTCAACTCAAACATATGACTTCAGCCAATTTAGGATAAGATCCCCCTGAATTTGTACATCTCGCTCGCCGCAACATTGTACGCATAGTTTTCACATGGATCCTGGCGGTATTCACACTTGGCATAATGACTAATTTCGTTTATCGATTCACTTTGTCTCAACTATTTTACTTCTACTAATTCAGCCAGATTGATTGCAACGTTCCCCTATTCTTTCTCTAGTTAGATTCATTTGTGCTACGAATCTCTCCTGGCTGTTCACACACGCGTATACAGTTCTCATCCACCAGAGTCTGGCAGATACCCAATTCGAGTAGTCTGTCAAATTCATACCGGCCATAGCCATCACAGCTGAATCGCAGTCGGCACACTCGCGTCGAATGCAGTCAATGATCATTTCATCATCATGGTTCACTTGAACGTACGTCGGAACACAAGAACACAAATTCACCAGTGTTTTGGGAGGCTAAGCATGACACAAAAATAAGTGTCACGGCAGTTAGGCCGTGAAATCTAAATTCATCCGGTTAACTAAGATACCCAAATCACAGATCGAGTTTAGCGCCTAATTAGATGTTTACCAAACCGTCTGTGGTCCTCAGCCGTCCACTTGAGCAGAATTTGTTGGCTGAATGTGTATATAAGGTTGTCATCGTTCAACAAACATGAAGCATTCAATTCAATCATCTAAGTTGTTCTATTTGGCCTCGAGAATACCCACACTTTTGCCCGACAATCTGCCTGCCGACCACCCCTTAGGAGAAGTAGCTTAGTCTGACTGAATCTTTGTTAGACGGTTACTTGTTGAGTGAGGGCTACAGAACTGGCTTTATCGATGAGGTTCCATCTACAAGAATGACGTTTTCGGTGAGATGCACTCATTCGCAAGTAATTTATTGTGTCAGTGGAAGACTGAATTAAATCGTGGTAGAATCCTTTGTTTACAATTTCCCAAAACTGAGTTTTCTGTAAAAACGAACTGCTTCTATGGGACGTGCCCATAAAAGCTCGAAACCAGTATGGGGCTATCGAGGCCTCCAGGAAACTTATGAGTTTCTGTCAGAATGATTGCTGTTTTCTTCAGTTTAACGTTACCTTTCGATTTCCATTTCCCCTTCATACATTTCAGCTACATCCTTAGATACTATGAAAATAAAACGGACACAAATGCATTGCTAAGGAGGGTAGACAAAGGAAGAGTAAGTCTTTGAGGATTGAATAAAGACACAGCCATTATCGACCTTCACTGAAGATTCGCCCCCTCCAGAGAACCCAAGTTATTATATAGGTAATCACTTCTGAACAGAAATGACTTCAGTCTTTGAAGGAACGTACTACCCGACATTGTCGACATTGTGGTATTCACAATTTAGCGGAAAACGCTAGCGAAGTAATTGAAAAGCAGGATTTCTCAGCTACGTTAATCGAGGATCATCGGAACACCTGTCAACAAATCTTAACGTGTAATGGGGTGCCGTACTAAATCAGTGGCTATTTACGTGCATCATGCGTTAATAGGCCTTTTAGTGTTATCTGGTATTCGGTCCGGTCTAATTTACCACACATAGGCCGCTCAAGTATGCTGCAAAGTATCTTGTTCGAGAATCCAGTCCCAAGTGCAACTCTCAACTGCACACAGCATAACACACACACACACACACACCAAACAACCAATCGTAGCGCACGTGTTACTGTACTGATCAGTATTTGACTGACCACGTTGTCAATGTTTTAATATCAATTACCTTTCCCTAATAAAAACATGTCCGTTTTCATTCATTCATCTATTCAATTAATTAATTAATCAATCAATCAATCAATCAATCAATCAATCAATCAATCAATCAATCAATCAATCAATCAAGTGGTCAGTCACTCAGTCATCCGGGCAGGCAGACAGTCAGTCAGTCGGTTAATCACCTAGTTACTCAACTGTCTTCTTAATTGGTCATCTAATTTTTCAACCTAACAATTAATCAAGCAATCGGACCATCAATTACCATTAGACATTCAAGAAAGCAAAACCATCTCCCTCCAATACGCTGTCAAAGGCATTCATTTACTGAAACATGCTTAGAAATATGAGTACTTTCAAACAATCTATCCTGTTCGTATGTCAAGCTGACTATATATCCACCTATTTATCTATCTATTGATGTGGCTGCCCATTTGTCTGTCTATCTATTCATACACCTGTCTATTTGTCTGTTCCTTCAGCAACTCTTTAGACTCGCTGGGGGATGTGATTTTATCGAAGAATACAAACGGATTCTCTCACCTGAGTCAGACTTAGCGAAATATAAGCCAGAACCGAAGCTTTCTACTGTTTCCAGGAGAAACTTTGAAGCAGGCCTTATGGATCGAAAGAAGCGCGCGGTAACACACGGATATGTTCATCTAAGGGACCTTCACACAGTTTTAATCGCAGCCGGCTGTGGGTTGCTCCAAACGGCGCAAATTCTGCACGTGCTTGACCCTGCTAATCTTGGAGAGATTGATTTCATTACATTCCTATTTTATTTACCTTTGTTTGTGAAGGCTCATCAACTCACTGTGACTCACCCTCTAGAGGTTAATTTGTAGATTGTTCGCTTTTCAAATGTGCCGAAAAAGGCCATTTGAACGTTTTTTAAATAAATTGTTTCCGTATGTTTTCTGTCATGGGATGAGTAATGATGAAGAACTTTCGATTTAAAAGTCCAGTCTGAAGTTTTCTAGAGTCTTCATTCTTCTCCGACTGTCTATTGATTTTATGCGGAGCATACGACGGTTAGGGTTGACAATACCAGAAGCTTCATCGGGCGAACAATACACGGTAGATACAGTCCAAACGAGCCCGAATGCAACCAGTCGTCTGACATCATGACATGGAGAGGAAGGTCAAATTCTGAATTCGCAATATGATGACTACCAAATCGTGCACGAAAACTGATGACACTTCAGATGAAACGCTCTAACCGTTAACCAGCCCAGTCCAATAAGTTTCACGAGTTTCGCGACTTTCACAGAATACGATCATAAATTCTAACTGCTGCTCCTGGTACGTGAGAAAATATGGACCAAAAAGCACTCATTAAATCTCTGGGGCCAGTAAAATCAGAGCGTCCGAATCCCTCTACTTGAGTAGTTCCTCGCTTTTGTAACTTGAGTGTAACTTGCAGTGGTAACTGCAAATGCAACACTGCCGAGTGGACTGCATAAGTTCGGTTGAAATTTTGCAAACTTGAAAAGTAGTCAGGCAAATTTCAACGAATAGCATCGGCTATTTGGCTGGAGCCGAGTAAAGGCTCTGATCCACAAGTCTACTGGCAACCATATCAGCCACTTGCGGCACAAGAGCAAACAAAGTTGGGGAGGAAAAGTAGTCCGGTATCTTATGTGTTTCCGTGCTGAGCATTTGGAAATTACTGAGATGATTACATCCGTGATGTGTAAAATATTTTTTTCTATAGGAAGTCTTAGGTATCAGGTGACTCTTTCCAGAAGTAAGCCTGGTGTAGGTAAAGTGGGAACTACTTTGAGTTTTTGTTCCATAGAACATTAGTCTGTTCCAGATAGTTTGTGAGTTTATCAGGGTACCCGTACTAATCCACTTGTCCTCGAAGTAGAATACGGTTCAGGTTCGGTAGCATCATTCATGTCGATCTTCGGTGTCCTATTTACTACACCCAGAGCTGTACACATTTTTATAACTGCCTACAATGTTTGCTGGTCGCCTACTTTTCTTTAAGTGCACTCTTATCAGCAAAAACTGAATTAAGGGACCCAAATAGGTGGGGATCTGTTGTTAGTTCGTTTTTGCGATGACGAAGAGCAAAGTTCCATAAGGTCTTATCTGCTGCACCGTTTCAATTGGTAAGTGACAATCCACCTTAGTCAGAATCAAAAACCTTATAGCAGTTTCATCCATACAATTCAATCTAAACCAGGGAACTGAAGAAATAGTTCCACGGAATGTGCTGCTAATCACGTCACTGTGTTAATTCTGGTGTCTCGTTTCCTTATCTTTTCGCACACTTGCTTTGAGGCTGTACCCACAGATTTTATGGAAGCCTCACGGGAAACACTGGCACGGTCAAATAAATACTGGATCTCTTCACGATCAGCAACTTTTTCGGACGCTGAGAACAACATAACAACCATAAGAGGACGCAGATTGATAACCCGAACACCAAGCAGTTTGCGATGTAACAGAACACGCTCTTGAAAAATAGGAGTTCAGGAGATGAAGAACCCATTCTGTAATAAATGCCTATTGTACCCTTCTTTTGTTGATTCGTTGTACACAAAGCGGTGAGTCCACAGTCCACTCACATCGAATGATAGTACAATCGGCCTCGTTCATCATCGAGTGATCAATTGGAAACTGAACACTATCGTAAATTGTTACAACGGAACTGTTCGAACCCAAAATGTGGGAAGACATTGTACGACATACAAGCTACAAGTTACAATCTCCAAAGTGGCATTGGTATTCATCCTTGTACAACTTCTACGTAGTATCCTGGACCAGCGCATGTTACCAATAAAGTGGTTCATCTCCGTTGCGACCACAGCCCTTAAGTATGGTGCGAGAAAGTGTTGCAAAAACTATCGCGATAACAGCCTGTTAGCCACGATGTTCAAGGTACTCTCCGATTATCCCCTGCATAGAACGATCATGGGGTCAAGTGCGTAGAATAAACCTGGATTTGGTCGTACATCTTTAGTCAACATCAGGCATGTGAACAAGGCCACAACTGCATGCGGCCGAAACTGTACACCTCTCTAGGCTTGTTCATTAGGTGCTGTGTGAGAAGGTGTCGATTGTTCAATCAAACTCTTGTCTTTTTTAGACACCACAATCGGCTACTTGTATTCGATCTCATCATATCTGTTGGCGTGCGAGAGAGTTTCCTCCGTTCTTGTTCCTTTTCAAACTAGATATCTATAGGCCACTCGATACTGATTCGGGCCATTGGTTTTTAACATATTTGGGGCTTTGCTTCATATCCACCAGTTATGCTACATTTGAATTTAATGGTACTCAATTCCGGGACACTTTAAAGACAGCAACCAGTTTGGCCGCATTTTTAGAGCACACTTCACAAGCGAAGGATATAACTTGCTTCTATAAAGAATGTTCTCAACAATAAGTCGAGTCATGCGCCGGATAGAGCCAACTAATTTTGCGGCTGCAGATGCCTTGCTGTGCTGGCAAAATGCACAATTTCCTTCTGAATTGAAAAGTTGAGAACGTCTGCAGTGCCTGCATGACACCAGCTTGTCTGTTAAAGTTGGATTTTGCTGTCCGTTCTACTTTATGAATCGAAAACGTGACCAAACCGCGTTGAAGATGTAAGGTATGTTGAACTGTTCTTTCCGAAACACCTCCTGGATCCGAGACAGCACTGGAAAGGTCTGCAACCATCAAGAAACAACTCAGCCAAAAGTTTACTCCAGTTAGAACACCTGCTTTTTGTATCAAATAAAAATAGGACTCACAGAGCTGTTCTTGTTCAGCTCCACACCGACTGGAAATCTCTTGGAAATGTTCAACCCGGGACTTGACCGCGGAGTTTGGAAGTCCTCACTAGCAACCGGAGTTCTACTGACACTCGACGTCCTCCCGGATTCGAAACTTGGCATGAAATGATCAAGCAGTTATGGTCGACAAAAGCATTGAAAGCTTGCTTAGGTGTTTATACCTTCACTTTATCCTCTTCGGGTGCAGAGTAAGAACCCAGAATTACTGTACTGTCAACATAACCTCTTTAGTGCCTGAATGACTTCCCGTCACTCTCCAGTAGACGAAAAGGTAGTTGGTCTTGTCAGTGTACTCTAGTTAGCGGTTTACAGACGACAGAGTTATTTTAAATGGACATACTTTCACTCTGAACCATTCAGTCACGTTTACTAACAGAGAAAATGGGGTCGGCAGACTCAGAACCAGATTTGAATAGCCCACACTTTGCTCCCAGTTAGTGTTATAATCCAGAATTCCATCGATATTTTTGAGAAATGATTGCAAAAAAGAAACAGAGGGAATTTCCATCGTACATCTTTTCTGTTCACCCAGAAACCAGTTGTTGATGGGCCAGAAGAACAACGAACAAAAATTCGTTAAAACTCATAGGCATTCCGCTTATGGCGAAGAAGAATATTTTGTTTGGCCGCGTCGCAGGTGAGGGCCTCTTGAAGAGAATTCAAATCGAAGATATCGTTTCTGTTTTACTTCGGCTAAAGACCTCTTTGCTCTGCGAAGGAAAGAATAAAAGGCATGCACACTCTCGTTTTTTGGATAATTTGATTAAATAAATCCCAAGTCGTATCTGGAGGCGAAGTTATTTGTTAGATACTATGGATATTTTTCAATAATTAAGTACCGGCGTTACAGTGAATACTACTGATGAAGCATTCAAGTGGTTTGTGGTTTTCTCAAAAATCCGCTTCGCGTCTGTTGAAAAGTGAGATTTAAAACGGATTCTGTGGAATCGCTTTGTAGCCTTCGTTTACTTTTGGGTGACAGACAGTGAGTATCCAGAATGACGCGTCCGTGAAGAAGACGGATGCACAGTTTTTATAATCCACATTCATATGCTTCTCTACCTAGTAGTCTGTAACTTTTCAGTTGATGTTTTCCAATAGATGACTGCGTATCGAAGGGTTGTTCCCTTCAATGGTATCACATAGGAGAGACTCAACTTGCGTTTCATTGATCTCTGATCGATACTAACCTAGTTCACGAACGGCTGTTTTTCTGCGGTGTGCTGACGATTATCCTTTACTTTCTGGAAGTGCCAACACTTTTTTAATCGAGACAACTACCGATACTTAGAAGTCATATTCAGGGCAGAACGCCTTTTCAAATGTTCAGGAATATACGACGAAATCCGGTTCATGCTGGGGCTCCAGTGCCGTTTAGCTATAATAATTATTGATTAGTTTCCTACATAAAAATGGGATATACCCTATCCGTTTACTGGTTTTGTTTTCGCGAATACTAGAAAATCTGTTTTGGTGCAAACAAATTATGAAACGTTCTGGTCATCATGGTCGCAGAGGTGACGACTTCGAAGTTGTGGATGGGTGTGAAGAGCAAAAAAACTAAAGTTGTGGGTATCAGAGACAGGTTAATGTGAGCAAAATATGTGTTAGATTTCAGGTAACGTTAGAAGGATAACCGTGATCCTGTGCTTGTTAAACGGAATGATGAAGTTTTGAGTTCCTCAAATTGCATTGAATTAACTTTAACTGGTTCTTGAAAACGCGTGTTCGTTACCAAAATAGCCTACTTTCGCGTCGTGGAATCATCTTCTTGATTTTTCTTGAATTTTCCCCCAAGCTTTGAGGTAAAATCACACCTGAGGATCATTTGATGTCCCCTTCAGTGGGTGGCTTCTTATCATGGAAACGCATACTTTAAAGCGTGGCTGTCTGTGGATCCCCGTACAACTCCACTATAGGAGGGCTCCATGGATGGAGCACCAAAGAAAGGGAGCTAAACCAAGAGATCTGCCCATGCATGGTCATACTGAGTGCAGAAAAAATTTCGGGGAACGCATTTAGACGAAAAAGTCCACCGTGATAGGCATAGCCGGTACTGTAAATGGCAGTCGGGTAAACGCTGTTCGCTGACTTTTATACTAC